CTGTACTAAATAAAAAACGTGCAGTGAAAACTGTGAAAATTATTTCCATCACACTTACACGGGGATGAATAATCCAAATAAATTAAATAAGGTTGCGGTGGACCAAAAACTATGATAACCAAAAAATAGCAACAACAATATTACGTCTAAAGTTTATGTATCAATTAACAGTTAATAAGTTAATTACACACAGATAAAAACAAAGAAAGTTACTTACTTATTCAGGTTATTGCGCGTTCAGCTGAGTTTCGTCCAGATAATCCACAATTATAAAAGATTAGTAATCCCAATATGGACTATATAGATCCAGTAGGTTTACCAAGCGTATAATTCAATAAGAATGTCACAATTGTCTATAAACGGAGATGGTATGCAATTAATATTTCATTTAACATATTAGCAGACACGGCAGAACGATGCAGATGTGAGTTAGAGTGTATTTATTGGGGAGCAGTAACGATGTCGACACATGCACCAGGTGTTTGAAGAAGACGTAATGAAGGTTCGTTTTAGAAACAGCGTACCACTCGTGATCTGGTACGGATGCGTGATCGAGCACCTTCAGCCAGTCGGCATCAAATGTCGAAGACTTACAGAGCTATTAATTTTTGAGATTTATTCACCGCTACATTTTCGATTGCAGCCCCATTCCTTGGCTAGCAAAGATCTTGGGTGGTGTGCCTGATGATTCCTTGAGCGATTGGATAAAACAAATCGCGCTACATGTTGAAAACCTTTAAACGTTACTGCCTCATCATAACAACATGAAACTAAATTACATGGTACCATCTGTCCAGCTATTATCGTCTGTTATATTCCCAGAACTGGAGTGGTCGATAGGAACTCCTGGAGGATATTGTTGCCTTCGTTTTGACTTTTACATTTGAGAAGAGCGATTCCAAAAAAAGTGAAAAGACTTATCAGGAACAAGGCGTCTTCAGCCACGCGGTTTGCAACAGAGATAAGTTCTGTACACAGGAACAACGCACAGACTTTCGGAGAAAACTTGAAAGATGATGAGTTGAGAGGAGACGCTTTGGCGTCCAACATTGCATCTCTCCTCAGAGGACACCTCGTGTCGGTGGGAAACTTTCGTTCTACCGATAGACGAAACAAGACTAGTAGTGAATAGGTCTTTATTTTAAAGTCCTGGAAGGTGTAGATTGAAGCGCGATGTTACCTTTGCAAACACACAAAGCTTTTCAACATTTAACAAAGAATAATAAGAAAATATATTTTTTGTACAAAAAACTGACTGAATACTTAGGCTCTGATATTCTGACATCTACTTAGATGTTCGCGGTCAACTCTATACCAATCAACCTAAGTTGTTACAGACATACATAACTCCGGTGTTCACAGAAAATTTAACAGACGGATCATCCCCAAATAAAGCATATATTCGGAATTATTACTTAAAATTCCTAGGTTCACGGATCATAGTTTGTGTAGTTCCGTAAACGCAAGAATAAATCAAACCTCATTTACCAATTTTATCATGTGTAGCTTCGCCACTGTCTGCGTTATATAATCAATGGCACCAAATGTCGAGCATTATGTCACAATGTACTGAATATATCGTAAACACATGTGTGCAGCAGATGACGCGCACGCTCAACATTAGGCAATTCTACCAATAAAAAAGTAGAGTCCGAACATCAGTAGTTTTCAAGATACCTGTGTTTCTACCAATGGTGAAGGTACGCTGACTGGTTGTCTAGACATCAATAGATGTTAGGATCTTTCTGTAGATTGTTTATATGGGATTACTTGGTGTCAAAGAATAATTCTCAGTATTCGTTAAAACGACTCTCAGAACTATTTAACGCATTAGTATTGCTGAATACACAGAGAAAATAATTACTGACCTCACAAACTGATAAAGTATCTGAACTCGCGCACTACTAGTAATAGGTCGACAATCAAAAAACAACACAGAAGTTACATTTAGCCGGATGATAGTAAAAGCAGACGACACGTAGAGTTGATACTATTAGACCGTAACGGTTTGGAATTGAGGATAACTGTGGACGTTAATTCAGACACTCGTGCTCCTGTCTATTCGAAATTCAAGACAAGTGGTTGAGTAAGGAACGATTCAATATAAAATTATGAATTTAAATGCGAATTATTACCCAAGCAAATACTAACGCTCAGTTATTTACACCAATTATTGCGCAAAAAATAATTACATTACATTGCATAGATAAATTGGTAAATGACTTAAAATAGTCACTCGTTTCAACAAGTAAACGTGTTTATTAATACAGAAATACTATTCTATACGTCCCAAATAGATCGCATACAATTTTTTCATCAAGTAATATTCAAATAAGATGCAACACTGAGTTTCTAGTTCTGTAAATGTGCTTCAACTCACAATCAAAAATTGCACAATCCTATTGAGTTCAAGCAACACGATAAAAAAAGGACGAACCAATATACCAGCCACCATGACAGAAATGTCAAGTAAAGCAAAGTACATGTAGTTCATAAGAACAAATTCAGTAGAAATGTTAGAAATATGAAAACCAGAACAAGAACTCAGTAGCAACCGTTTAATATTAGAATCAAAAGGATCCACGACTGAAGAGATCAAGAAGGATAAACTGCGAGTGTCCGTGGAGGGATTCCCATATATAACCACGGGAAACGTTAAAAAATCTTACGATTATTCTCCGTTTTATAAAACATGCGGGACACACATACAGAGTTAAGTTAGACCATCGACCTCAAGGTATTTTAAGCATAGAGCCAAGCCGCTAAGTTTTCCAGAACGAGAGATAACTTCAGCCCAAAGTCAACATTTGTCCTATTTCACATTTAATAGTATTATAACTAATTTTAATGAATATAACACTTAGCATTCACGAGGTTTTTGATTTCTGATAAAACACTAGCTTGTGAACGCAAAAAATGAAATAATTACGGGTTGTGGTATACATCAATAAGCCCCAAACTTTATCAGGAACCGTGACCCTTTTAAATTCCATCATTTGGAAGCATACCGTCAACTTAGTAAAATTTGTTAGTCATGTAAACCAAATTTATACTCAGTAAGACTAATCATCTTCTATTACAAATTATTTATTCATGCCTGCTGTTTATCAATTGCAATTAAAGTTACGATCAGTGTGCTTGATGTTCACCTCACCACCATAGGATAAAATTAATTCGCGTCTTGAACTAAAATAGTATATTTATAAAATACATGAAGTGTTTCAGGAATGCTGTAGTTCAATACAAAATATACAATCAAATTACAATACAACGTGCATTTAACTATAAAAGCAATGATATTTATTTGTGTTGTATCCCGTGGAGAATTATGAATGGTAACTTTGAGAACCATTTATAGACCAATATGATATGCATATTTCCTATTGTACAATTGTTAAGTAACTAACCCAATCATATTCGTTTTCCTCTTATCATTAGCTTTATTTTGACCTTTGAACTATTATTATACGATCCTTGAGTTATCCCCAGTCTATTAATTACTTTCCCCCTATTCACAGCCACATTTGGCCGAATTTTGTACAAATATTATTTTCTATTTCATGGTACGAGTGGTCTGTTTAATCCGTATATAAACTCAGTGTTTGTGAATAATGATTCCTATTGCAGAGGCTGTTATTGGTGTTCCGGACTTAACTGGCTGGGCTAGGCAGATAGGACTGATAAGTACTGAAGACTGCTCATACGGCTTTTGGGTATCATTGGGCGATCAATAAATTCACTGCTCTCTAATTGGGCGGTCATATCACTTACATATATCAATTGGGCAAGAACGGACGCAATCGATATAACAATTTGCGAAAACGTAAATATTCCCGGAAAACTAGGAGTCATTTTTGTTCTCAAACAATCTCAGAAATGTACATACCTTAATGTGGTCTCAAACAAAACTGTGAATCCAAAACAAAAAAGACAACCACGGAAAGTTCATGTGAAAACAAAAAGTACAGAAATCCGAATTATTTGTTAAGTAAAATTTTAAATAGTTAGTCCCTTTCGTAAATTCAAATATCAGGATCGGGTTGCATCGACACCTGAACTAATGATAGGGAGTGAAGTAGTTGAACGTGTTGGCAGCTTCACTTATCTTGAGAGTCTCATCAGCCCTCGTGGTCTGGTGTGTGACGAAATCTCAGCACGGATACAGAAGGCTCGTCTAGCTTTCGCCAACTTGCGTCATTTATGGCGTAGGTGAGATATCCGTCTAGCAACAAAAGGACGGGTTTACTGTGCAGCAGTTCGTTCCGTCCTACTTTATGGCAGTGAAACATGGCCAATAAGAGTAGAGGATATTCGTAGGCTACTAGTGTTCGATCATAGGTGTCTTCGAAGTATTGCTCATATATCCTGGAACCACCAGGTAAGTAATGCAGATGTTAGGAAACGGGTACTAGGTAAGGATGGCAAATCGATTGATGAAGTAGTGAAACTTCATCAGTTGAGATGGCTGGGACATGTGTTACGTATGCCCAACCACCGACTGCCCCGACGTGCAATGCTTTATGGTGTAGGAGTAGGTTGGAAGAAAGCTAGGGGCGGCCAGACCAAAACATGGCATAAATCCATGAAGTCACTGACAAGTGGACTGAGCCATGTTGGTAGGTGTAGACTACCTGGTTGGGATTCGCGAGATGATAGCAACCGATGGTTAGAGACCTTGGATGACATGGCTCAAAATCGTTTGCAATGGCGAAGGTGCATCCACGCTTTGTGTTCTCTCAAATTTTATTCCTCTGAATCCTTCATGTCCCTTTATTTTTTCTCTTTCCGGATTTATTTCACCGGGTTATACTCCTTCAATAACATTTTCAAACCCTAATTTTTCACATAATGCTTATATTCTTACTACTTCTACCACTATGGGATTTGAATCGACAACTGCATCTCTGGGCTAATTTGGTATGGCAACTTGAACTGATGTACGTGCGTACGAAGTTCTACGTTGTGACTGAATGAAATTCAAATAATGCAGTGAGAAAACTAAGTTTATCAGAACTATATGATATATTGACGCAGTATATTATTCGAGATACATTGCAATCGCATATCATATAGTTCCGGTAAGCTTTGTTTTTTCACTGCATTATTTAAAAAAATGATAATAACCTAACCCCTCTCAACAAATATGGAAAATACATTATTACAGTAAACGTAGAAAGAGGTTTACTTGTGTATTCTAGGCACCTTGAGAACAAACGATACAACTTTGTTTTTCAAAGACGGGTTTTACAACTAAACATGAAATGCTAAGTGATTTGTGAGTTTTTGACTGTAATCAATCTGTTAACTCCCCAACCATTTGTAGATTAGATCCAACTTTGAACCCATGAACCTCATCAGGTGAATTAAAAGTACCTAGGATACGACAGGATTTGACAATTTTGGTACATGACTACTTCAAGATATCCGGAACACAAACGAGGAAGATGATAATAGTTGAAATAAGCAATATGTTCGAGCAGACGAGGAGAGTTAAGCGTTGACTACTAAGACAAGAAGAATCTCAAATGAATTTTACTCAGATATGATCATGATCCTTAACCGAGAGTTGTCACCTAAAAATTTCTGTTAAAACTAAAGCGTCAGAAGTCTACAGAGTTAGTTACGTCACGCAACAATACGAATAACGCGCGAGTTTTAAGCAGTTGACTAGTTTTCTTTTCATAGTATCAATGAGTCATATCTGGAACTTAAAATGTTTAGTGAACGAGCAACTCTAAGATATCAATTTAGACTGACATCAAAAATAATTGGCAATCTGTTCTTCCTGCAGAATGACTCCAAATTAACGAAATTCGACTTATTGTGAATAATTCAACCATATAAACTTGTTTCGTAATATGTTTTTCCAAAATTAAAATTTTGTTAGTGATTCTATAGGTCTGATTAATCAATCAATCAAATAATATTCTTCGAGTGAATAAGGTGATTGAAGTGACAATTTGTTTCAGAGGTCGATATCTAAGTGTATAAATAAATATATTAAATATTAATATAATTGTTTGACTGACTAAGTAAATATAGATGGAGGATTAAAACCATCACTTATCCAAACAATATTTAAAAAACAATAGCTAGTCAAACTGATATGGAAATGAAACAAGTAACATAAAACAAACAACTATTTTTAATTTCTGTCCTTCACAACACATACTTCATAGACATTACATTCTTGTATCTTTCTGTATATTAACTTCTGAATAGATCTGTTATAAAATTGGAAACATGATAGGAACTGATGAATTGCAGAACAATATATTCCATTTAACCTAAGCAAGATAACTACTGGTACTGTTCACCAAAAAAAGAGTGCTGCGTTACAGGTTGAATACAAGTTGTTAGGTGTGACTATACTATAGATATCATTTTCTATAGGCAATATAAACCAAGCATCGCATTAATATCAATAAAAATTACAACTTCATAAAGAAAAATTTAATAATCTTCATAGTATCTGTTACATCCAAACATGAAAAGACAAAAAAAAACATTTAACAAGTAAACAATAGGTGGGATTTACAAGGATAATGCATTAGAAAAGAACTAACATTCATGTTCTATGCCTCAAACAATACTGAACATAATCATCAACCAACTTTGCGATACGTTCATCAGTAACCTTATGAGATGGTTTGTTGATAATCTGCAAGTAAATAAAACAGAAAAGACAAGTGACAATCATAAAATATGACTAGAAAAAAAGCTCAATTGTGTAAATCAATTTTGACAAATAGTATCAACAAGAATGACCATGATGTAAATTCATACACTACAGAAATTCCAATCTTTAAACAACCTGTTTAAGAGAATAGTTAACATTGTCAGAAAAATCCCTATTCACGAATAACTAGAATTATTGAGAGACGAACTGATTCTTAAAGCATTCAGCATAAATAGGTTTTAATATTGCATAGATTACGATCACAAACGATGAGTGTACACAATAAATCACTTAAATGTATTCACTTATTAGATCTTCAATTAGATAAGAAAAGTTTAGTTACCATTCATTTTAAACTAAACAAATAGACAAAATTAATTCTGATGAATTTAACTTCAATAGCTATCTTCATGTTAATTCGTTATTTTCAGAAATTAATCTATGGTATTAAAAAGAGAAGTATTGTAAATAATTTTAACAGTATTTATAAATCTTTTCAAATATTTAGGGAACAAGAAAGTCGACAAAATAAGGCACCATGAAAATATTGTTGACACTAATGAAATGTAAGTATTATAAAAACAGGAAAGTACAGAAGTCAATGAAAAAAGTATGATTACCTTGCTCAAGGAACGTTGAAAAATATTACGACAAGTTTCTTTGTCTATTCTGTGAGAAGATACATATGCCTTTAAATGATGTTTCAAGGTAGACTTTACTCTTTGCAAAGATTCGGGGCTCCAATTACAATGTGAAGCATTAATTTCACTAGAACAACTGTGCGATGTTGATGGGATAGGATCATTGATAACAGAACATTTTGCAGGTGTATTGTTATGATATTTTACCTGAGAATTTGTAGTTGAATTTGAGGAAAAAAGAGACTTGGAAACAGAAGATACGCTATCTGATGTAGAAGGAGAAGAGATAGAGTTAACTGTAGATAGAGAGGAGAATTTAGTGTTAACTGAGTTTGCTATATTGACCTTATTTGCGGAAAGTGATGGGACCTTGGCTACCGGAATAGGCGACATAGAATGATCCGGATTTACTTGCATATGACGAGTAGAAAAGCGAAACAACGATGCCTGTCCAGCTTCTATGTCACTAAGATAGGTTGATGATCGAGGATTTGGTTGAGAAATAGAATTGTTTGAACTGAAGTTAAAACAGAAAAAGATTTAACAAACTCATATGATCATGAAATAGCACAATTCAGGTACGTTAAATCAATTCGAGAAAACTGAAAAGATCAAATGAACTAACAACCAAGAAATTTAAATGAAAACACCGGATTATGCGAACTGGATTTTTGATCCACCAGAAGCACTTTATGCACTGTAACTTACTTCGTATACATAGAACAAGACTACAGAGAAAGGGATAACTACAGTTTAATAAACATTTAGTAGCATTCAGTAGTCATGTGAATAACGTATTATTATAAGCATATCCAAAGAACACAATCTCTACATGCAAACGGAAAGTATAGTGGTGTTGAAAAATTGGTTAAAACACCACTTAAAACTGAAACATACAAAAATCTAGTAGCACTAATAATAAGGTAACAGTAGTTTTAAGAAACAACTCAATTACAAAAAGATTAGTAAAACTTCCAAAGGATGTTCATGAAGAAGAAGCTAGTATACATTTGACGATTACACAGAGTTTAGTCAATAAATTATGGAAGAACGAAAGTTGAAATATATGATATATAATTTTTTTTATTAGTGATTACAGAATAAAGCATAAATACACGTGTGAACTTTCGAAAATTACTATTAGTGTTGAACCTCGGAATAGTAACTGAAAAAAAGTTACGAAACTATTCCTCTGAAACTAGAATTTATGCGTTCAGATATGCTCTTAGTTATACAAAACTATGAACATAAGTTATGGAAAAAGCCTAATCTGAAATAAGTACATTTTAAAAACAAATTATTTAAATATGAAAGCAATATTGATTGAAAAACGAAATTTGAAATTCACTGGACACAATGATTTCTAAACGTAGTGTTTCTATCCGTCACAGAGAAAATGGTTGGTACGAAGGTAAGCACGTGCACTTGGTTATTTGGTAAATATAGTAAATTTTCCGTCACCTGTGGGGACTGAGTATGTACATAATTTTGTGGTACGTCATCAATGAGGAGAAAGCACTTGATATGTCTATCAAGAATCGATAGCATTTAATAGAAGTAAATTATATTTTTTAAGATTGTAAAACCTCTAATTAAATAGTTCCTAATGTTTAAGAAAATGTACTCCTAGTGCCATCTCCTAATTGAGTACTTTAATGCAACCCAATAATCAAGTGAAAGTTGTGTATTCGACTTCACACCACACATTTTTATGTGACGCGTATCTGAGTTCACAAACTTAGTTGGTGAAACAGGGTTGGAACCTGTGACTGGACAGTTGGAAATCAAGTGATTGACCACTGAACAACGGACTATTAAAGAAAAATATATGATCGGTTGAATAGTTTACACTCTTCGTTGGAACCACACCCAAACGTTTGTATGCAATAAGAAAAACGTTTTTGATCCCCAGTATAACGCTTCATCTCAAAGTTTAGACGGTTTTGATGGGTTACCGTTTTGACTCAGTATGAATCTAACACGTCTTGACAACAAATACTAATGTATAACCTTAAAATACTTTGTGAGAAGGCATTTAATAACATGGCTAACAGTTTGCAATCAGTAAGGGGTGACTTTATCCACGATAGGTACAAATAAGAGGGAAATTTTATGATTGATATTATCACGCTTAACGACTGTTTATTACAGATACTGTTAACATATTTATTAACGCGGCATGTTGGAATCCAGTTAGCCGAGATTTCTATATGTTAAGTCAGTTTAGAAGGTGTGCTAATCCCAGAGAAATAAAATGGAGATGTGACAAAATCGTAGCTATTACTGAATATTTGTTAAAATTTGTCGCCAGGAAACTACGATCAATAAAAAATTTTCAGTGACATCAACGGTAGTTGAAAGAAACATTGAACGTTGTAATGCATGAAAAAATAGACGTATTCCAAAACATTACACGATGATCCTTTAGATAATTGAGTTACTGATACTTTATTTTCTACAGAACTTTTACACAAGGGAAACTCTAAAGAACCACTCCTTAACCATTTACAACCAAATTTTAGACTGTTTAAATAATGAATTGTAGCATCAACTTGGCAGTGACTGAATAAAATGCAATACATAAATCTAAACTTACGCGGAACTGGTGGTTATGATAGGTAGAGAAGGTACGATTGATGCTTTATCGTCATCTTCATCGACCAAAAGTCTAAAACTAGAAAATATACAAGAACGATTATCTACGTGTACAGATAGAGGCTAAAAGATGACACATGTTAAGTCAAACTCTTCTACTAATAATAATGTAAATCCTTTAATCGATTTTAGTAACATAGTTAAATAAACTAACTACGTGTATTTCTAACAGATTTCCATCAAGGTCTTCAGGTATATTTTGCTGTTGTTCAGTTGTTTAAAGGGGAAATACTTCACAAGTTTCTAGTTGATCAAACTAAATCTCACGTAAAATATTACAAAATTATGTAGACGTTATTCCATTTTCTTTTCCAGGTACGGGAAAGTATGGTTGGGGAAAAATAAACTAGTGAACAATAAATGCAACAACACATTGCTTTAACTAGCTTCGAACTAAAAACTTTATGGAACAACCTATTTTCACTCAGTCAACTACAACGTACGACCAGGCACATATATGCATCGGTCCAAGTGGTCACACTTCATTAGCACAACAAGATGAACACAAAATTCATAGAAGTAGTTAATTTAATTATGGTAATATATGAAAAGATTGTACATAAGAATATAGTACAGGAAGAAAGATATGAAGCAATTTTAATCTTATAGTTTGGGGGAAAAGACAGAGAGTTTATACATCTACGCCATTGTGATCGATTCTAAGCCATGTCACCCAGAGTCTCCAACCATTGGTTATGATAGACACGCGGACCTCAACCAAGTTTATTTAAACACATACATATTGGTACAAAATGGCACCAAATACATATGCGCCACACAAAATAATGAGAATGGGAGGAGAAAGGGGGAAGATGCGTATATATAAAAGAAAAAAGGATGAAAAAAGAGAAAAGTGATGATGAGGGGAACTGAAATGTACAACCAGGAGAACTCTCACAGTTAAGAAAGCTATAACCACTCTTTATGAAGAAAGTAAAGGAAAGTTACAGCAGCATCACCTCTGGTTTTTATTCTGAGCGATATCCGATAAAGTCTCTAGCCACTGTGTTGCACCATTTCTCGGACCCCAGCCAGGGAGTCGTGAAGGTCCAACAGAAGCCAGCCCCTTTGCAGCTTTCTTTCATACCACGACACCATGTCATAAACTGAAAACCTCTCCACACCGCCATTACTTACCTCCATCAGAGCTGCTTCCAGAATGTCGTCGACAGCAAAGTTGAAGAGGAATGGTGAGATTGGGCAACCCTGTCTAACCCCACTGCTCGAATGGAACAAGGGAGAAAGGTGGTTGTATGCACTCACTCTGCCTGAGGTGTTCGTGTACAGGGCCTTTAAGATGTTAATGAACTTCTCAGGCACACCCTTCTTCAATAGACAATCCCAGAGAACAGTCCTGTCCAACGAATCGAAGGCCGCCCTGATATCAAGAAACACTACGATTGTTGGCCTGCGATAAGTATGACGGTGTTCTAACATTTGGTGGGGGGTGAAGATATGATCAATGCATCCTCGACCAGAACGAAAACCAGCCTGCTCCTCGCGAGTCAATCGTTCTCGGGTTTTAAACAACCTACGAAGAATGACAGAAGCCAATAGTTTGGACGCAATCGGAAGTAGACTTATCCCCCGATAGTTGTTACAGGAACAACGTGAACCCTTTTTAACGATAGGGACGACTATTGACTTATTCCATGATGTTGGAACACTTTCTTGCTCCCAAACCTTTCCAAACAACACCGTCAGTTCCTTTGCCAGAAAGTCACCACCATCTTTAAAAAGAACCGAAGGTAAGTCATCTGGGCTCGATGATTTGTGGCGTTTCAAGAGCTGAAGTTCCTTGAGGACTTCCGCCTCGTTTGGTGGATCAGTCGTCACCAGCCATGGGGGGCAGGGCAATCTGATCGATGTTGCCAGAGCAGCAGGCCTGTTGAACTGTTCTTCAAAGAATCCCGCCCATCGTCAAAGACGTCGATAGATGTTAGTGATTGGTATCCCATCATCCTCACAGGTTGTTTCACTCACACCAGACTTCTTGCTGCCAGTGGCTCGGATGAGTTGAAAGAGCTTTCGGCAGTTACCAGATGCAGCTGCTGCTTCTATCCCATCAGCACGCTCCGACCACCAGGCTTCTTGGTCCTTACGCAAGCTTTGCTCAGTCTCGTTGCGTAATAGCCTTCGTTTGTGGTCAAACTCACGGTCACCCGGAGTAGACCGACGGGCTTCGATCAGTTGTAAGGAGCCAGAAGAAACCCAGTGCTTATAAGCGGGACGTTTCGCGAAGCCGCAAACTATTATTATTATTATTAAAAACAGAAACACATGAACGAAAAATCGCGATAATGAAATTATTTAGTAGGTGGTATTGAAAATAGGTGAAGTACAAAACAAAGTTGCAAACAGAATACTCATTTGTACAGAGTTCTGGTTGTGTCCTATGGACAGCCGAGACTGATATTTTAAGGAACTGAAAACGAAGAAATCCAGAGATAACAACGTTAAAACCGACAAGTGGGTTAGGTGATTGATTAGAGTCAATTAACTGTTTAGTGATCGAACGTTTTCCTTTCACCCTTGTAGAACCGGGGTGGAATGTCTTTTTGGATGGGTTTTGAAAGCGAACACTGGCTACAATCAACGTGCATCTCTCAATAGACGTAAGTAAATTGATATATACATAAACAGGTTGGCAGACGACGAAATTTACTTTTTGAAACGTAAACATACAATTCTCGGCTTGTAAAAGTGTAAATTACAGCTGAATCAAATGTTTTCGTAATCGCTCCAGACAGACAATTCTTACGCACAGTAGATATTCGGTTACCTCTGAATTCCAGACTGCAACGAAAATATTTCCTACAGAAGTAAATTTTCTGAATTCCTTATTGTGAGTATAGCTTGTTTACGTCGATGAAGTGAACGGAACAGATGACCCCAGTTACTGTTTTCCTGAGGAACCCAAGTGGTTCGCTTGCTGTACTTGCTATCATTGATGCTACTAATATTTCAACGTATTTACTATTTGTTTTGTTAATTTTATCTGGTTGTGCTGATGTAATGTGGCGACCTGCGATGCTGTATATTTGTATCAAGCTCCACGTTCATTATGACCGACTAACAACTAAATCACAAATCCTGATTCTTGGAATCAATCAATTACGTTCATTTTTATGTTTATTAATTTATAATAAGCATATAAATATACTAAAAAAACATATTCTGCTAGGAAGTTGTATTTATTTTGATACTTCATCACTCAGGGATTTGGATTGATAATTTAGTCCTGTAAGATTATCAATTAACAACATTGCTTTACTACCCATCATCTGTCGATTAGAACCTCAATAATCGAAATTTTATCGAAATCCTAAGGTCCAAAACCATTTTGTATAACATACTCAGGTAAAATTTAAGATCCAAATAAAGTTAGATAAGCAACTCAGAGTAAATACAAATGGTCACAAACGAATAGCTGTACACTAAAATTGATCTCCAGTAAAATGGAAGGAACTATACAGTTGCCTGTTTACTAACCAACAAAACTGTCATTAGTAACATTAGACAACAAACAGATTCAAAAATGAACATAACTAAAAAAGCAACTCTCAGGTGTCCACTAATACTAATCCACTAATACTAATACCGTTGCTGCTACCTTGACGTGGTGGTCGGGCTTGCCTATCGTGATGATCCAATGGAGCTATGCTGGCTGGAACAATCGTTCCTCGAGGTCCTACCATGCCAGACAGGTCGATTGAAGAGCGGTGAGACTAAAAGCAGCAAACCCAAGGTCCGAAGGCGAAGTCGTACTGCTGACTGTACAGAGGTGTGAAAGCAGTAAGGTGTTTCCTTCAGACAACCAGCATGACAGCGATGCTGCCTTCCCACAAGGAGGGGTGGGGTTAGAAAAGGTCGACCCTAAAAATGCACACCTCGCCTTATCCCACGGATATCCGTCTCCGGCGGTAAGGTTTTTTTTTTGAAGAACGGAGCTAACACAAAAACTACCCACAAAAAGGTCGTGTGTGACCGACCTCAAGCAGTTGTCCCTTGGGCACTGCGGTCACGCTCTCCGGTCATTAAGACCACTTCTAACCCAATTCCCCTTTCAGGTACCTCTAGAAGAATCCTTCCACGGTGTGGGCAACCGGGAAGTGATAACTGCCCTCATACCTCTAACAACACTCAAGACCACTGTATTCATAATCAATCTCCTTCTTCAATTCCTACTACCTTGACTTTCAACACTAAACTTCCTCTCTCGGTTTCCTCCTCAAGTGTCACCATGGCCAACGATTCTAGTGCGCGAAACGCTGTCCCAGGTCTACTAAAACCTCGCTCCAAACTACACATTGGAGCCTTCAACGTACGTACTTTAAGTCAAATCGGTCAACAGGCCTCCTTAGCTAAAACCTTAGAGTCGCGTACCATTGATGTATGCTGTGTCTCCGAAACACGCATACAGGATCCCAGTGTGGTCATTCACTTGACCTCACCTCGCCAAAATGGACAGCCAACGAAATACACCCTCCGTGTATCTGGCGACCCGTTGGCTAGTTCTCGTGGACTTGCAGGTGTAGGTATGGCACTAAGTACAAGGGCAGAACAGGCACTATTAGAATGGATCCCCGTTAACAGTCGCCTGTGTGCTGTCCGGCTAAATGGCTCCGTAAGAACTCGGAAGGATAGGGACACACGTCGTTGCCTTTTCGTCGTTTCTGCCTACGCTCCCACTGACTGCAGCCATGATGAGGTGAAAGATGACTTTTACAAAAAGCTCTCTGAGCTTCTTCAGAAAGCTAAGCGCTCAGACATAGTAGTCGTAGCGGGTGACTTTAATGCCCAGGTAGGCAGCTTAAATCAAACAGAAAGACATCTAGGTGGGTGTTTTAGTATTCCGGCTCAACGAACCGATAATGGTGATCGTCTGTTGCAACTATGCTCAGACAATCGTTTATTTTTGGCAAGCACTAATTTTAAACATAAGGAGAGACATCGTCTAACATGGCGACCACCTGCACCAAACCAACGATGGACTCAAATAGACCATATTGTCATCAGTCATCGTTGGAGAGGCTCAATAGAAGATTGTCGCTCGTATTGGAATACTTGTTTAGACTCTGATCACGCTTTAATACGAGCACGCATTTGTCTGCGCCTCAATGGACGCAGGAAAAGTAAACTAAGAAGACCCGTTAGGATTGAACTGGAGGACGAGAAAGCCAAATGTGAATTCCAGAGACAACTGAGTTCACATCTAGGCAGTTCTGTAAACGAGACTGACCCAGATGCTGCTTGGAAAGGCATACGAACAGCTGTGGAGACAGCAGTAACATCTATTAGTCATTTAAACCATAGGGTTCCAAAAAACCAGTGGATTTCTTCTAAGTCTATTTCACTGATGGATTCGCGTAAACTCATACCATCAGGCTCTGAACATGACGAAGAGCGTAAACAAATTAGATCTAGGTTAACTAAAAGTCTAAGGAACGATCGTGAGCAGTGGTGGGCAACGAAAGCAAAAGAGATGGAAAAGGCAGCGGCTGTAGGCAACACCAGGCAACTATTCAGACTAATAAAAGAAACTGGAATTAAGAAGTCAAGTGTAAGTGAGACGATCTCGGAAAAAGATGGAACCCTTATCTGCTCTCTACCCAAACGTTTAGAACGATGGGCGGAACACTTTAAGGAGCAGTTTAGCTGGCCTTCAGCTACTGCACAACTACCCACTATTCCTAGAAAACCTGAATGGAACATTGAAGTAGGCCCCCCGACCCTACTTGAAGTTCAAAAGGCTATAGGTAATCTGAAACGAGGAAGAGCAGCTGGTCCTGATGGATTGGCTCCAGAGGTCTTTAAATATGGTGGTCCAATTTTAACGATTAGGTTGACTAATATTCTGGCTAAAATCTGGGAGACGGATGTAATCCCATCCGACTGGTCACAATCACTGATTGTCCCAATATATAAAAAGGGGTCAAAATCATCCTGCGATAACCATAGAGGGATTAGTCTGACTAACATAGTATCTAAAATACTAGCCTCAATAATTATCAGGCGCCTAACTAAGACTCGTGAACTGCAAACACGAGAAAATCAGGCTGGCTTCAGACCTGGTCGTGGCTGTATCGACCACATATTCACCATTCGTCAAGTTTTAGAGCACAGACATGCTTATCGGCGTCCGACAATGATAGTTTTTCTTGACTTGAAAGCAGCATTTGACTCTGTAGACCGAGAGGTTCTGTGGCAGTGTCTGTCATTGAAAGGTGTACCTGAGAAGTACATAAACCTTGTGAAGGCTCTTTACTCGAACACTATCAGTCGAGTGAGAGCTTATGGCGAACTGTCATATGATTTTACAACCTCAAGTGGTGTCCGTCAAGGCTGTCCACTATCCCCCTTTTTGTTTAACTTCATTATAGACCTGTTGCTGCAAATGACACTCTCGTCGACTGAGTTTACAGGAATTGATCTCCTACCAGGGGGACCACTAAGCGACTTAGAATACGCAGATGACATAGTCCTGTTTGGTGAAGACGTTGACAAAATGCAGAGTCTTCTGTTGGAACTGAGTAATAATGCCAGGATGTTTGGGATGCGTTTCTCCCCATCCAAATGTAAATTGTTACTCCAGGACTGGCCTGCGTCAACACTCGAACTAAGGATAGGGAGTGAAGTAGTCGAACGCGTTGACAACTTCACTTATCTTGGAAGTCTGATCAGCCCTAATGGGTTGGTGTCTGACGAAATCTCAGCACGGATTCAAAAAGCTCGTTTGGCTTTTGCCAACTTACGTCACCTATGGCGAAGACGAGATATCCGTCTATCAATTAAGGGACGAGTATACTGCGCAGCAGTTCGTTCTGTTCTACTTTACGGCTGCGAAACATGGCCCTTAAGAGTTGAAGATACTCGTAGGTTACTAGTATTTGACCACAGATGCCTTAGAAATATTGCTCGCATCTGCTGGGATCACCGAGTAAGTAATAGTGAGGTTAGACGCAGGGTATTAGGTAACGATGGTAAATCAGTTGATGAGGTGATAAATCTTCATCGACTGAGATGGTTGGGCCATGTGTTACGTATGCCTGAACACCGATTACCACGACGCGCTATGATGACTAGTATTGGGGACGGTTGGAAGAGAGTTAGGGGCGGCCAAACCAAAACATGGCATCAGGGCTTGAAGTCACTAACTTTTAGTTTGAGCCATGTTGGTAGATGCAGACTACCTGGTTGGGGTCCGCGTGACTATCGTAATAAATGGTTGGAGACTCTAGGTGACATGGCTCAGAATCGATCACAATGGCGTAGGTGTATACACTCTTTAACTTCCCTTAAACCTTGAGATTAAAATTGCTTCATAACTTTTTTTCTTCCTATACTATATCCTTCTATACAATCTTTCTTTATATACTACCACCACTAAATTAATTGCTTCTATGAATCCGGTGTTCATCTTGATGTGCTAAAGAGGTATGGCAACTTGGACCGATGCATAAATGTGCCTGGTCCTACGTTGTAGCTGACTGACTGACTGAATACTCTTGAATCGTACTATCAATAACATAAAGAGAAAATGAAGTCAATCACACAAACAACCGACTTTTAAACACGTCAACAAAAACCCCGTAATGTTGTCCGAGTGTCATGGTGACAGGTATGAAATGTTGTTAAAACTCTACCATTCAGTTCAATAACGAAAATGCTAAAAAGTTACTGGTGACTTGTAAGCCCTGATCACTGCACAATTCAAAGATCAAATTATCTAATTAACTATGGGCATATGTGTATTCAGATGCATATTTAGCTCTAAAATTGGCATTAAGTAATGTCGAAATGATTGGGTTATACAAATGGATTGCTAAAAAACCTACTCGCATTGTGACTCTTTACCCAAAATTGATAACTTGGGTAGACTAGATCCTATCAAGCCATTTCGAACTCGAAGTTGGGATGAAGTTGATGGTTTCGGGCTAACAGACGATAGGGACGAGGAGAGTTTCCGCTAAATGTGCAAATAACATACAGAATAACATTTAGAACACTGTGAAATCGATAAATCTGTACAAACAAAGATAAGAGAAATAGAATTATTCTAGTTATCATTTGTACAGTATAAACTAAAAATGTTTTATTTTTCTGATGCTTCAAAATCCACTGGAATTCCAATTTAGCTTTAAAACTATTTAAGGACAAGGTAACTCTCATTTACCAGGTATAAACTCATGTACATTGAGCTACGAATTAAATGTGAGGGTTAGCAATGCTACTCGGTCTTTTCAAATAAAGTAGGCAGAGCAATGCTTGAACCCACAATTTGAGCAGAAAATTGGACACTTTGACCGCTGAGCCCCCGGCTCCACTTCAACTTCAGTGATTTGTAATGTTGACGGTAAACCAACTAAAAAACCTATGGTATGCCTATAATCTCCGTGTGATGTAAAGAAATCTTGATCAAAGCGTTTCGGGAGAGATTTTACTTAGCCGAATCTATCAGTGTGTCTTCGTATTATTCATCGTACCTTGACAGAAAACAAAAGATCGAGTATATGTATAGTTATTTCGAACGGACGTAAGCTTAAATAATTTTCTATTATCAATATATATTAGTACTTATTAAACGTAAACTGACCGTTCAGAAGAATGTAAAGATATACATTCTTAAGATTTACTCAACTGTATAAACAACAGCATAATTCATGTACAAACCCAGTGATTCGACCTGTGAAACTTTGAACTAATATGTGCAACAAGATTCCTAGCACGATAAATAAATAAATCCATTAAAACGTCTGCGAAATCACCAGAACCCTTAAACTAAAAACTCGAAACTAATCTCCACAAAAATTGATATCACTTTACCTGTTGATGTATACAGAGTTATCACAGTACAAGTAATAAACTAGAGCTTAAATAAAGCTTTGAGATTTGATGTCCAATTGTTTAATATCCCATTTCGTTGCATAAAAGCACGTGTATATTAAATGTCTTGGAGACGAGTACAATTATACGAATCTGGTGCAATTTAACTTAATCAAGTGTGTTAAGCACCATTTTTTCGAATAACCAAACTGGGTTGAAATTTAATGTACTATTCGGACAAACCACTTTTATAGTATCATATTTTCTAATTGATGGCCACAGTACTGAATAGTGATGAACTAACTTTCTTATTTGATGATAAATGTTTACTGAGAACCAACGACAAATATTGTCGTACGGTTGAGACGAAACTTGTAGTACGTCGATAATTATTTCTTAAACAATACATACATCAGTATATTTGCTTAACTCACTATTTTCTTACGCATTGTTTTGTTTCTCGAACGCTGGAATTTTTTGGATTTGCGTAGCTTTTTCTTGACACGTTTGCCTTTTGTTCTAGATAAGCGTCTTTTGGTTCTTTTCGTTGTCTTACTTTTTTTCTGTGGGTTTTTTACAACAGGAACAAAAGTTTCATCGAAATTAGAAGTTTCCGAATCAGATTTAATATGAATGGAATCCATATGAGAAGACTCCAATGTTCTATTTCTGCGTGCATCCTCATTAAGACTGGTAGCGCTCGTTTGGATAGCAGTATTGCCTTCCTGAACTCCATTGGAATCGTGCGAAGATGACGGACCAGCTAAAACAGGAAACTCTTCCACTTCTGATTCGCTAGGAGATCGTAGTAATCGAGGACGGTGACCAGTAAGTTTTGTTTTTTTAAGTATAACTCCATTCTGATCATCTGAATCTGAATCACTGCTGGATAGTATCCGCAGTCTTTTACGGAAGGGCTAGATGAGAACAGAATTATAATCACAAAAATAATAATGGAGGTATGAGTTAAGAAATAATGACAAATCAAATAAAATGATTAAAATTAATGCCGGGAATACAACAGTTTATACAGGTTGCTTATTTTCTTAAAAAATATGTACAAAACGAAAGATATTACTAAACACTGGTGACATCAAATGATATATTTTTTGAAGCACAAACAAGATCTGGAAATATATTAAAACCGCGTTGCTATCATCATGAATAATCTTTGCAGATTGTTGCGATAGATAAAAAAACAGTTGGTTGAAAATGTCCAGTGGCTTTCAATAACCTTCAACATCTGGAAGTAAACGTTTTATCACTTTCTCTACAACATATAATGTCTAGTTATCCAAGGAGAATGTCCCTGTTTTACTTCTTAGTGTGCCTAGGTGATTTACTCTTGAGACTCTCACTTACTGGTGTTTAATTTAGATCGAAAACGGAGAAATATTTGCTATATTCGCAACCATTAAGAGATATGGATTAGCATACACCAAGATGTTTTTATACCACACTATGAGCTACACATATTTTTAGTTTCAACAAAACCACTTCATTCCCAAGTTTGTCACTGGATTTATTTTGGATCTATACGTAAACTAATTACGATTTGGATTATAACTACACAAGTTATGTGCAAAATAATTTTTGTAGTACCAGGTTTACTACATGAATCAGATCTTCTAAATGAAAATGAATTATACAGACATAATAAGCAGATAGTTAACTGAGAAGAAAACCCCACTGATATCAACTAAAGCTGACCTTTCCTTTTCTCACCCATTCAAGTTATTTTTTTAAAAACGACATATTAGCTATTGGTACTATTCGGATTATGTATCAGACAAATTTTCTTTAAAATGAGACTAGGTTTCTCACCGATTCAAAAGTCATTTTTGTGTTGTCTAGCTGTAGTCTTTATAAACACGATAATAAACTACCAAAATTATCACAATTAAAAGTGAAGAGATAAACTATTTTCTAAATATTACCTCTGACTGATTATTATCTGATACTTGTTCATTAAAGTCTGACCGAACATTATTAATCTGGCTTCTGTGGTGAGAGTTCGAATAAATTGGAGGACGGCCCAACCGGATACTGACAGGTTGACTTGTCTATGAAATAATAAATAACTAATAACACTGTGTACGAATAAAGTTATGGTTAAGTCTTATAATAGAGAAAACACACACAATAGTATTGTTTCATGAAAACAGCTTACCGAAGACGATATTTCAAAACAGATTGTCGTCTGACTGTGCGTTGGACCAGATGAACTATTAGATTCTGATGCAAGTTGATTCTCAACACGTTGTCGTTGACTGCGACGGCGTTGCGCTCGAACAGAGGCCTCTGATGTTATTCGTTCACTTAGATCAGCGATTAAATCCTGCAATAACCGACGTCCACGGTGACGTCTAGTAGCCTGCTCTTCGAGCCTCCTTTGAGCAGCAAAACTAAGCTCACGTGTTAAATGGAGGTTTTCTGAACTAGAATCTAAGGAAGTGTTCAATTCATCGTGTTCACTCTCCTCTGCCTCAGAATCAATTAACCTTCTCCGAACACTTCTTCGAACACGTCTATTAGTAGTCGTTGTCGACGCGACATTGGTAGTAATTATTTCGGGTGGAATAATCCCCTGTCGATGACATTCTGGACAAAACCAGTCGCCATCTGGGATGGATGAGAGGGGGGTTGGGAGACAGTAAGTATGATACCCCCTATCACAGTGATCACATAAAAGCAAATGTGCTTCATCATCTGGACGATGACATACCTCACAGTTGACGTCCAATTCCAATGGTGGTGTTTCCGAAGGCTGTTGTTTAACAGGTGGTGCATTAACCTATAGAAATCAGTAGAAATATAAAATGACATATCACCGAAAATATTATGAAAACAATAATGCCATAACTATTGTTAGGCATATTTTATGTCACTTTAGAGGGAAAGTGTTTTGATAACAGATAAATGACCAGAGGGTGTTTTTATGGTTTAACCAGATAAAAGTTATTGCTGTCAGTTTGCAACCATATATATATATATATATATATATATATATATATATATATATATATATATATATAATTCGAGTACTGGGGACATTTGCACTTTCCTAAATATCACGGATCACGTAGCATAGCTGCAGGTTAAAAGAAACGCATCCGAAAAATTATCGTTATCTATACACCTGTTCTTGGGGAGTCAGGTCTGATTAGTTATTCACAAGTAATTCAAAACGTGGCAGATTTCTATTAGCCCACATTGCTACGTAAACTTTATCGATTACTCGATGAGCATTTTATCTGAGTTCAAGGAAATGGTAGAAATGAGTGAGCAGTGGATACATGAGTCTAGCAACAAAACCATATCAAGCCTATATATGATACAAACACATCACTAGGAGTCAACAATCAGGTGAAAAGGCATTTTCAAAGACGGTTTGCAGACAAAGTACTTGAACATAGAGAATTCTGAACTGTGCACAAAAGAAATTAGTAATATAGTACCAAGAATTGCCTTGTTTAATAATTTTTATTTATTGATTAATTTGAACACACAAATATTGGTACAAAAAGGCACCAAATACACATGCGCCACTCAAGTCACGTGCTTTGTGTGTGGGCTGTGATACTGCGCGGGTGCCCAGACCGAAGCAGGTGGTTTTCTTAGGAGGCCACACCCTGAGCCTTCGACCTAAAGGTCTGATCCACAACGGAGTGGATCGACGTCAGGAGATGCAGTCCCGTGGTAGCCGGTGACCAACGATTGGTTCATACGCCGTTTATTCCTTCAGGATCATGGAGTCTATATGCACCATTAGTTTAGAATGAAAGTTTTCCAACTCCTCATTGGGTCACCGAGTATACTAAAAGCAATTATGGCCTATTAACAAAAGGTGCTTTCTTACCACTAAAAAGTCAACTGTGATCTAGAATCTGGGCGCAATAAATATAAACCATGAGTGAAGACCAACGGAAACCACAAATCTCGTGGACGAGAGATATAGTAAGTTAGCTATTTATTAAAGCACGAGTCCGTCCCATATACTAAAAGATACCGGTGTAAGACACACCGAGTACATGGTACATTACTGTGGCACCGGATAAATATGATTCCCAAAAAAGAACATTTACATAACCGACCACACAAGCGTATATGGCTTTATATATATTTTTTGACAAAAACATGACATACCCGCTTTATTATGGGGCCCCCAACCCAGTCGGACAATAAAATAAGTTCATATACGCCACGATCCAGAGGACATTCATGTCGTACACGTGACCACTCTTTCAGACATATGTAGCAAAATGCATGATTGCATGATTCTGGAGTAGCAACAGGCTTTCGAATCCTCTCGCAACATATCGGGCATTGATGGTTCTCTTTAAAGGACGTTACAGTGAAATTAACAGCACCAGGTGTCTTGCGGATCAATATTTCACTGAAGGATAAAGAACAACCAGAGACAGGACAGGTGAATCCCGAGGAATAGTCAAAATCACTAGCCCAATCCTCCAAGCAACTTATATGAAACATATGAGAACATGATTTCGGGGTGCAATTTTCGCCTTTTATACTTCCACGGCATAATTCACACAGGTAATCACTTTTCTTCAGGTTGAGGAAATCTAACATCTCAATGTATGTAAATAATCATAGGAGACACCGGTGAATGTGACCGTGTAACGTCCAGTTTGATTTATCGAAGCAATTTTCCAATTGGTTTTCGAAGGGAACTGAGGAAATATAGTGGTGACCTGATTCTCGTGAAATGAAGAAACCTGATTTAACTTTTCTTTACTGTACAAATGCTGATTGCATTGCAGAAAAATATTAACTGCAATATGGTGTCAAACAAATAACGTTTCTCTCACCTATATGGAGAAGAGGTCATGTCGTCATCGTATTCAAGTTCATGGCTGATATCGTCTATCAAGAAATTATTCCGGCCACCCCTGATATATGGAAGGCGAACTTGAAGGCGACCAGCACTGCAGCTCCTGTATCAGTAGAAGAAGTATTGACTCGTTTACGGCAGTTGTGTCATCAAATAATCCAACCATTATTGCCTGGACAGTCTCAAAAGGGAAGAAGCCCAGCCATTCATGGACAAACCAAGATATTTGATGACTACCATGACAAAGGAAATGTTGGAATGTCTTTATCAGCCTTAATGCCAAAATACTATGGAATGATTCACGTTGGTCCTTAATAACCATATAAGTACAATCCGGCCAGCTAAACGATAATATGAATGGCTGTACGCCGAAAATATTTTCAAGCAGCCTACGTACATTACAGAGTACGGACGTATCATTGAATTCCGAAAGTAAATAAGACTGAGAGATCTGTGGAATAATGGTCTAGTTCGGTATTAGTACGTTCGCCTGTAGCTCTTACTGCCGGTTACTGCCGGTCCCAAGCCCGGGTAAAGGAGGAGGGTTGGGCATGGGGTTACCGACCGCATCCCGTAGGAAAACTAACTCGCTAAAAAGACGCTAACCAGAAAAAATAATCCAAACCATTTAAACTCTGCCCTGGGAGTTGAAGGAATAATTATGACGCCTCATGATGAAAGCCGAAATTTTTCGGAAGTCATGAGGCCGTTGCTCCTTCTAATAACCAGATCAACACTCTTTATAGGTACATGGAAAGTCCAGACAATGAGGAATACCGGGAAGACCAGTCAAATAGCACTGGAAATGAGGAGATACAAATAAGCAGTACTCGGAATCAGAGTGTAGCTGTAAATAATTACCCAAAATCAATAGCTCATTAAGTGTTCGACATTGGATGCTGACGACGTTGTTTAAGTGGACTTGTTTAGCTGAAGGCTTTCGGTCATGCATCCGCACCAGATCACGTTTCAACACGGCGTGGGACACAGCTCCTACGTTTCATTAGCCAGCTTATAGAAAAGGTCCTCGATATATTGGTAACGAATCAAATATATCTTTCCTGCCTCTTCTCGTCTGACTTCTGATTTCTATCTGACTGGGAACGATCGAACATAGAAGGTGCTACTGGTAACTAGTTGTAAAATTAGAACATCCGTTTCATCATCAAGAGAAACCCATTGGACACAAGCTGGACAACAAAGGTGAAGCAAGGGAGTGATGCTGCTGTAGTCCGTTCACAAGGAGGAAAATGCCCCACACACTGAATGTGTTGCTTTAATTCTGTCCAGAGAAGCACAAAATGCACTCATAGGATGGGAATCTCATGGATCCAGGATAATCAAAGCATCATTCAAAACAAAGAAGGAGGTGATCGTAGTGAACGTTATCCAATGTTATGCATCCACCAATGATGGCGACGACGACGATAAAGATAAGTTGTAGTGGAGGCTCAAGAAAGTACCTCACCATCCTGATGGGAGATCTAAACGCTAAAGTCGGAGTGGACAACGCAGGATATGAAGATATAATTGGATGACATGGACTAAGAGAGAGAAATGAAGATAGGAAGATATTTTTCAAACCTATGGGCATTAACAAATTGGTTATAGGCGACACAATATTCCCACACAAGCGCATGCACAAAGCTACATGGATCTCGCTGGCCCACACCACAGAGGACCAGATAAATCATATTTGTATCAACAAAAAATTCCGAAGGCCAAGGGAAGATGTCAGAACCAGATTCCAAGCTTTACAGGATTTACTGAATGAACAAGAAACTACTTTGGAGGCCAACTGGAAAGGGACCAGAGAAGCACTAATTTCAACGTATCAGAAGGTCCTGGGTCGCAAGAAACATCATCATAAGGAATGGATTTCTATAAGAACGCTGGACAAGATTGAAGAAAGGAAGAACAAGAAGACAGCAATTAACAACAGTCGAATATGAGCAGAGAAAGTCAAAGCACAAGCAGAGTACGCAGAAGCGAACAAGAAAGTGAAGAAAAGCATTAAAGCCAACAAGCAGAAATACATGGGAGAACTAGCAACGACGGCGGAAAAAGCAACAAGAGAAGGGAATATGAAACAACTATATGATACAATGAAGAAACTGGAAGGGAGCTATGGCAAACCTGAGAGACCAGTCAAAGGCAAAGAAGGAAAGACACTCACGGAGATTCAAGAACAGAGGAAAAGATGTGCAGAATTCTTCGAGGAACTGCTGAATAAACCAGCTCTATTGAATCCACCGGACATTTAAGCAGCACACACAGACCTTCCTATATCTGCCACTCCACCAACGATCGAAAAAATCCAGATGACTATCAAACAAATCAAGAGCGGGAAAGCGACATGACCTGACAATATAAAAGCTGAAGCACTGAAGTCAGACAAAGAAGTAACTGCAAACATGCTTCACCTTCTATTTTAGAAGATTTGGGAAGAGGAACAAGTGCCAATGGACTGGAAAGAAGGATACCTCATCAGGATACCAAAGAAAGGAAATCTGAGCAACTGTGAGAATTAGAGAGGCATCAGTTTCTTGTCAATACCAGGAAAAGTTTTCAACAGAATGTTGCTGAACCGGATGAAAGACGCAGTAGACGCCCGACTTCGAGATCAATAGGCTAGATTCCGTAAGGATAAGTTGTTCACAGACCAAATAGCGAAACTATGAATCATCGTGCATCAATCAGTTGAGTGGAATTCGTTACTATACATCAACTTAATTGACTATAAGAAGGCGTTTTACAGTGTGGACAGGATAAGATTATGAAAAACTCTTCGACACTACGGAGTTCCTGAGAAGATCCTCAACATTATCCAGAACTCATACGACGGACTACAGTGCAAATCGGTGCATAGAGGACAGCTGACAGATGCATTTCCAGGAGGGACCAGAGTCAGACAAGACTGTCTACTCCCCCTTTTCTTCTTTCGTTTGGTGATTGACTGGATTATGAAGACCTCAACATCTGAGGGGAAGCATAGAATACTATCAATATCTCAGAATCAATTAGACGATTTGGACTTCGCAGATGACCTGGCCTTCCTATCTCATACACATAAAGCGAGTACAGACGAAAAAAGCAAATTTAGCGGCAGCTTCTGAATCAATAGTCCTCAACATGCACAAAGTAGAAAGCAAGATTCTCAAGTGCAACACGGAGAACACCAACCCGATCACACTTGGTGGCGAAACCCTGGAAGAGGTGGAAGCATTCACGTTCTTGGGAAGCATCATTTGCAACCAAGGAGGATCGGATGCAGACATAAAGGCGAGGATTGGCAAAGCAAAGGCAACATTTCTACAATTGAAGAACATATGGAACTCCAAACAACTGTCAACTAATTTCAAAGTCAGAATCTTCAATACGAACATCAAGACAGTCCTACTGTATGGAGCTGAAACGTGGATAACTACTACATCCATCATCAGGAAGGTACAAGTATTTATAAATAGTTGTCTACGCAAAATACTCAACATTCACTGACCGGATACTATCAGCAACGACGTTTTATGGGAGAGGATAAACTAGCTTCCGGCTAAAGAGGGAACTAGGAAGAGACGTTGGAAGTGGATAGGACACACGTCAAGGAAATCACTGATGTGCACTACAAGGTAATCCTTAACTTTGAATCCAGAAGAGAAGCGGAAAAGAGGAAGGCCAAAGAACACATTACTCAAGGAAAGAGAAGCAGATATTAAAAATGATGAATGTTAACTGGAAAGAACCGGAAAGGATCGTCCAGGACAGAGTTCGATGGGGAATGCTGGTGTGCGGCCTTAGCTTCTTCACGAGAGGTAACAGGTGTAAGTAAGTACCCTCATTTTCGCCGCCATGATAATAGACCTAATCCCCAAATTGTAGATTTGTCATGATGTTGAAGACGCCACAGGTATTGTAGTTTGACAAAACTAACCAACAACACTTATAATTTAATCGTGCTCACCCAGTGAAATCAAAGGCCAGAGGCGAGAAGGTTCGAAGTTATATTTGATTGGTTATCAATGTATCGAGAAGTGACTGCCACAAGTGAATTGAGATCATCCTTTAATATTATTCTGTCTGGCACACTGTGTATGAGTATCTAAATCTTTATGTCATCGGCGAAGAGTAGAACGGATGACATTGCTGCAGCCAGTAGTTCAATTACGTAAAGTAAAAACAGAAGATGACTAAAAATAGAACCTTGGAAAACTACACCGTTTACAGGTTGCCACAAAGATGAAGCCCCGTTTACACTTACCCATTGTCTTCCATCATTGAAAATGTCACTCATCCACTTCATGACTTCATAATGGATTCCAAAACTTTCCGGTTTTGATTTAGGACACGAATGGAAGACCTTGACAATGGCTCTACTTGGATCTGTGAAAATTACATCTACAGGAATGTTTCTATCTTTTGTTGCAGCCCAATCTTCCCTTTCAATGAGCAGATTTGTAAATCATGAAAGGCTTCTTCAAAGCCTTGTTGTTTCTTGGATAAAAGATTACACCCTTTCAAGTAGTTCAAATGAGCCATCGGGGTAATCTTTTTATTCGTTTGACAACTGCACGAGTTAAACTAACGGGTCGATAGATGCAGACTATGTCTCCGCTCTCCTTCTTATACACCGGACTGATTATTGTGTCTTTCCAGTCTCTTGGCAGTCCGGACTACTGCAAGGACATATGAAATAGGACATCCAGAGATTACATATTTTTTAATGAATTCATTATATGTGAAAAAATTATATTTGAAATAGTCTCAGCGATTGAAATATAAATAATTCCAACGTTTCGTCCAGCTAACTTGTCTGGACTTCTTCAGGGAAATAATCAAAATCAAAATCATCAAAGAAATAAATAGTGATTTTTTACAATCATATCAAAATCTCTATCACTTTTAATCCAATCATATTTGGATGTCGAATTTTTTGTAAACAGGATAATATGAGTCAGTTGAATGAGAATCAAGTGAAAAGTTCAACGATGTGAATTAAACGAGACTGCATGAATTGTGTGTATGTATGTATGCGTAAGATGAGTTATTAATGATGAATGATATTCAGTGTTGACATGTTTCTATGTGAAGCAAAATAGGAATAAAAGTGCAAAATGAAGGTTGAAAAGTTTTTTCTGAATCACCGAAATTGTAATTAAATGAGAATCATCAAGTACATAATTGTAATGCTAAACATAACTCATATTGATTTCAGTTATAATAACGATTCATGTGAAGTAGACCGGTTGAATGAAAGAAAAGGTCAAATTACTTGTTGATGAATATTTGCCAAGTGGTAGCTAGCTGAATACCATCCTTTCTGTTTAGGCTGTTCTTATTCGCCCATATATACAGCGCTTCTGCTGTCAATCTTTCTTTATGAGTGAGACTCACCATTCGACTAAAGTGTGGCCACTGTTCCGCTAGAAATTTTCTTGGCAGGTATTGCTAATGGCCATCCCATTAAACGGTTCACACACATTAAGGGATAGGTTTGTCGTCCTACTTTTAGCTTGGTGATTACTTCAGCACCACGATGAAGAAGTTTGTGCAACGTATTAAAGACATTGTAACAATAATGTTTCTCTGTGATTGGCAGACACTTATGGGTAGATGTGTAACATAACAGTGTTTTCTTACATGCTCCCATATTTTTGATCAGTAGTTGCAAGGTTGTCGTAGATAACTGAAGAAAGTGATTAGTGACTTTTCGAACCTAGAGGAATTTAACGAGGTCGGTCCTCAAGAAAACGTTTAGGGGAATCATCCGAAATAAATCTTTGGCGACCAGACAATTTGCATCAGATATGTATTTTAATGATAACTTATTCTTGGACAACACGCCAGCTTACATGCACTATAAAATCATATGCGAAATGTGCTCTATTTGTTAGGACCATCATAGGAAGTATTTCTTCGAAGATGAGTTAGAAGGTGAAAGTATCTCACGACGACCCGATCACACTACGGTCTCAACGCACTCATTAAGCTTTTAAAATATAACTCAGCACTCGGTGATAATTTAGCTTTGGCATACGAAATTAGCTGAGAATAAATGAACACCATTCTTGACTACACTTTATATTCGTTTAAAGTGTTGAGTGACCTTATCAGCAGCTATATCCACCCTCAAACATGCGGTTATGTCCTCCATATAGCAGCACGAATATCCATTTTCACAATTTTAATTAAACTACTGTGCATTTGGTGCTTGTCTGAACAGGCTCAGCAAATAAATGCTCATCATAATCCAATTTCTACCTATTATCAGGTAAGTAGTTATCAAGGTTCTATAAAGTCACATATTTTTATGTGATTGAATTTGTGTTAGCATTTCTACCTATAGTGCTAAATTCATGACCATATATCTACAGAATGATTCGGCGGGATACAGATAAATTAACTCGACATTTCGTCTACCCATGCCAGTCACCTGTTCCTTCTGACAAATATATGGGATAAATGCTTCCGCAGAATGTTCATATTCGGTCGCTTACATTGCTCTGTCAGTAAAGAAATCAGTCAAAAGAATATAAACGAAGTCAGTAAAAAACTATATTTTAATTTAGGTGACCATGAATGGAACATTTTAGACGATGTGATGCATCATTAGTTTAAATTTATAGTAAATATTTGAACATTAAGAGTTATTCAAATAAGTTAAAGACCTTTTTAGGATTTCTGCGTAAGTGATTAAAAGTGAATTAACGGAGCAAGTGTTCATACTTGTGCTCCACGCTTACAAACTGCCAAACAAGTCTCACCGTGAACCTTGAGACTGAATGTCTCCGGACAAGTTTAATGGACGAAACGCTGGAATTACTTAAATTTTAATCGCTTACATTCTTCAAATATAACTTTCACACATTACGTTTTCACACTCAGCGCTCAATTTTTTCAAACTATCTGTTCTAATATTGACGAACATTCGTATAACTCCGTAAACGCTATCAGGTAGTGCAAATTTCCCATTATTGTATTATCTTCCACTTTCAATAAACAAATGGTTTATTTTTACTGCGTGAGCGGATAAGTGAGGCCAGCAGTAGTAGGAGCTCCTGCTTGTGTCGTCTGCGAGGGGTAAGTGGAAGAGTGAGAAATGATCAAAAATTTTGATCCTTCACCAAATAATGTATGGTTAATAGACAAATGAGATCACTACCTATTAAGTAGTGCTGTGGTCATGTTATCAAGTACCCTGTAATGGTCAGCTATCTCAATTAAGCACGAAACAAATGGCTGTAGAAATGATCGAAAGCCTCGGAAAAAGTGGCAGACTAATGTTGAATGGATGGATGTGCACCACTAAGATCGTTTAGGGATTTTGGATGGTCAACAGGAATGATTACACGATCGATTGGCAAATGAGTTATGAAAGTTTCAAGTGACTTAGGAGTCTAATCGTTACATGAGACGGCCAAGTCTAAACGTACATTATTTATTTGGTAAAGTCAGTAGAGTCTATAAGCTTTTCCGTTGGACCCCCGAGAAGTACGCTAGGGTAATTTTACAAGTGAAGAAAAGTTTCCGATCAAGTTTCGAGGACAGCAAGATTGCAAGGAGATTCTGCTTGATGACGGCTATTTGATAGCAATGAAGCCACTCGAAACGGATTTCTTAAGAAAGTTATTTTGATAACCGTATTGTTAGATTGAATAGACGAACTGTTTTCAAGAGTCTAGCCTTCAGGATACCTGAAGTGTGTTTCCGCCAGATATTTATCTCAGCGCACTTTAAAAATACGCGTGCTGGCTGGAATTTGCTAATGAATAAAAGGCCACGTTTGTTTTTCTACTTCATTATGTTGTGCTCTCATTAGTCAGAGAATACGGCTTTTCAAGGTTAGACAATGTCGATTAGCTATTCTGGGAGGAAGGTAGTTTCTCTGTTGTAGTATTGTCATAATATTTTGTTTTAAATTGTTTCCTGCGTTTCTTTTAACCATTTTGTTTGGATAAGATTGATCGATCAACAAAGCATGAACATTAGCAACATAGTCAGTAAACCATACATACCATGAATAATATATTATATATATGTAGTTTTTACTTTTTTGGAATAGAATAGAAACTAAACTTCGCACAACACTTTTTTGAATTAAACATCACACAGCTTCAAAAATGAATTATCGTAACTGGAAATTTTTATTTGTGTTTATTTCCACACTTACGTGTCGTCATATATAAATAAAGCAACTACATCCCTACATTCCTTACTTTAGTTAGATCAAAATTGATGTGTGTGGAATTCTGTTACGCCAACATAAAGACGGGTTGAGACTCATATATACACCTCGTTTCTTTTTTCCATTGGTGGATATATTCCAGCACTTTCTTTTTTTTTAATCTTCGTGCTTAGATACCTCTGTTTGGGATTTGAATTTGAAATTGACATACCCGTGAAAATAAAGAATAGGTTATTTGTAGGTCGTCTAAATTGAAACGACGTTAGTATAGAGATTCGATTTTTCTTTCCAGCTTAATTGTTTACCCACATTGAAACAAACGGTCTTTCCCAAGTAAAAATGGATTTAAGACTTTTCACAAATAAGGAGAAACATTAGCTGTTTTTTTGCATTTTCTTAATGGCGTTCGATGCAAAAGATTCAGTGGTAGTGAAATAAACATATAGAGGTTCAAAGTATTAGTGTTTGCGGGATAAACAACGTAGAATAACCTAACTATGAAGATTTCGGCAAATTAAAAGCTTGGGCGTCTACATATGTTCGACAAATTTACAGTTTAGGTACTGGATGTGTTGTCTTAGGGAAAAGCCAACGCCTAAACACGAACTATGAACTCTTCAACTATTCACCTGATTCGGATCAGAAGTCAAATACCAACAGTTCATCAACATATCGACGTCAGTTGTTGAGTTCCTATATTGAATAGTGATTGAAATAAGTTGTACATCATTAATGTAACAGGATTTTATTTTTCATACAAGCTTGGGCAGTATTCATAATTCTAGTGCGAGATAGAAAATTTTAAAGTGATTTTTGAAAACACAACCTTCGTGGTCTTATCAATAGTTCTAATTAATCGTTTCATATTGAAAAGACGATCCTGATGTCGATAATCAGAATAATCTTCATAAAGAACCATGTATCTGTCGAACATTTAATTTGAAGTTAAGGTTTATCAATGAGTGATTGGATCATCACTGGAAATGTTTCCGTTTTATGGTGAATCTGAAAAGCACTATCGTTTAGCTAACGATCAGTTATTTTCTCTTGTAAAAGATGTTTGCATTAAACTTCTGTTGTTTTTAATGAAAAGACTGAAGTTTAATCTGTCTTGTTTGCGCGAAATACCTGCTAAACATTTACTTTCATACAAGAGTCGGAGTTGAACTCAGATGTTTAGTTCTTCTATGTTTTACTGAAGAAAAGAATTAATGTTATGCTCCAGGGTTCAAAAATCCAACGTAAAACGATCAGTACACGAAGTTTCATAATGTAGTCCAATAAAATCAAAAGAAATGTATTATTCACTCTTTATCATTGATTGTTACGTTTATAAGCATCGATAACAAATGGACTTGATAAATTCCTCTTGTTAGCTATCGATAACTTCTATTCTATCAAGTATATTGATAGAAAGCTAAAGTGAAAACAGCAACGTGAATGGATGTCTACTTTACCAAGAAGTTTTATCTTATAACCAAAGAAGTCTTCGAAGGTCTGCTCTTGTGTTGTTTTTTGGAAGTATGCTTTTTCAATAAACATACTATCATCCTCTCCAACTGGCCTTTGATTTTTCTATATGTTAAGAACAAATTCACTCTTTCGATCATACCAATGTCTATCTTAACGTTTATTTGCTCCTGCGAAGCAGATTAAATCAGTTGGATGAGAGGAGCTTTCTCCAAATAAATCTTGAAATGTAAACCTCCCTGGATGCCAAAAGAAATGCACAAGTCGATGAAAAGCTCACTTTTGAGGAACCTTGTTTATTCACTTGACATTCTCGCATTACCATCTTTCGTAGTCACCTGCATAGTAAAATTAACTGTGTGAAATGCAGTACAAGTGAGGTTTTATACACCTCAGATGCTTTATCAGCTCATCAGTTTAGGCCTAAACTCCGTGTACAAAACCAACATATCCAGCACTTCACCTTAATGCTGTTTCAACTTCCTTCCTTCTCTAGGTAAAAATCGCGACCGACTAACCTTTTATTTCCCATACTTAATAATTGATTACCATTATTGCTTTTAATTATGCTCTAATTACTACTTAACTGCCATCGTAACGTCTAACTTTTGTTTTTTTCCTCATATTCATTGAGTGGTCAACGAACTACACAGTAAGTTCAGCGACTGTTGTGATTACTTTTGGCGTAATCAGATCACCTAGAAGAATTATATGTGTTAGTATGGACAGATTTGTAAAGTTAACAAATGTTCCCAGAGGAAAGTATAATTAAAACGTAAGCAGATGATTATCACACATAGGTCGAAATCATACTTAAGTTATGAATTTTTTATGGGAGATACTATAACTCTACTAAATTAGATATTGTATGGTTTCTTAGTTATGTCAATAAAATAGCTTCAAAGCTCCATAAGACGTTTACTCTCTGGAAACCCGTCGGTAAAATTGGAGACATTCTCTTTGTTCTACGAACTTTGTGGTCTTATTAGTTCACTGAATGTATGTTTGTCATCTTTTCTTTTCAACTTTTAGTCTTAAAGTTATCGGGTCAAACATATGTGTACATGATGAAAGTAACTGTAATTTGTTCGTATACCGATCAAGAGGTCCTTAGGTATTTTGGTTTATTTTAGTCAACAACTAAAAGGCAGATGGTGTATTACTGGATAGCTTCATTCATTACATACATTTTGGATAGTTAATTTAATTGAATTTTTAGTTAATTTGAACCGTAAAACATTTGTATTTATATGAACAACCAAATACTTTTTATTAAAGAACATGAAGTCATTTTCAATGAATTTGACTTAATTAAGTAAAGTAAAGGGCCATTTTTATTGATCTCTTATTATTTAATACTGTGTGCACGTATACGCACATTTATGTGCCTTTAAACACTGCTGAAACTTATGAATACTTCTGACGCGAATTTAGATATTACGTTATGGTCTTTTTGTATTACTATTTTCCTTCAGTCAATGAAACCACTTAATCAACTAAAAACTATTCACAACGAACACTATGCCAAACTTCAGAGCAAAAATGCTTCAGAAACAGAATTATTAGATGATTTGAGGTTAGTTGGAATTGGATTATATTTATTCCTACATTTTTCTCTTTTTTATTTTGAGAACTGAAAACATCGTACCTGAATAAATTATACACATTCGAAAATAACTAACTTGTTTCTTCTTAGATTGTACCTTATCTTGGAAGCACATTGACCGTGAATATCTATTTTAGCTCATTCTTGAAACCGTTAAATTTACGTTTTACCCATATTTTAAGTAAAATCCTTCATAAAATTGTTCGTTACTAAATGCTCCGCTTCATTTTTACAGCACTGAGTCAGGAGCAAGGGAGTAAAGGAGACATATTTTGTTTTATTTAGGACTCATATGTTGATTGTGTCTACAATCTAGTTAGTGTCAGTGTTCATGCTAAAAACTGAGAGTATGACAGGTTGTTCATAAGAAAAGGGTTTTCTGTTGGTTGATTTCGTGGTGGTAAATTTTAGACGCTTCATTTACCTGTTTCCAGAGAACTTCTGATTGATTGTCTAAGTATTCTGAGTCTTAGAAAAGGTGTTTTTTCTAAACATCTGAATAAACAAAATAGCTGACTTTATTTTGAAATCGGCATAAAATGTATCGATTTCCAGAGGCATTTTTATTACACGATTGACTTATAGCTTGAATCTGATAATGTTCTATTTTACGTGTAGCATGCGGTAAACATTTGTTTGACTGGATGAGGAATTGCATGCTAAAGATTTAATAGCAGCAGCTATTTTACTATAATAAGATTATTTTTTAAACTCTATTGACAACGAATGCTACATATCATTAGGTTTTTGTTATTTTGCAAACATTGCATTTCTAACTAACTTACAAAAGAGTTTAAAGTTTAAATTAAACCGTTAACTTACTTCATTTACCATAATCTTGTCAAATAGTATCTACAAATTCATGTTATCTTGCCAGGTGTACATAATATATTTAACTAACTTTCTATTCATATTCAAACGAATTGTTTAAAACATGTAAAAAAAACACTGAGATTTACTTCTCCATCTATCATAGGTCTTGATGGCTTTTCGAAAAAAATGAAAAAAATGAATTCTATGGGTAGAGGGGAAATCAGAGCTATTCAATGAAATACGAGAACACAACAATCAATAAACTGTTTATTTTTGAGTCCGAAATAAAGCTGATGGTTAGAAATATGACTCTTGGAAATGTGTTAGTAACGTGTGAGCCTTTTACTCCAGAAACGTTCTGCAATTTTATGAACTTATTACGTACAAGTGTCAGAAATTTCTTGTTTCCGTGATTGTGGAAAAACTGTTCAGCATTCTGGTGTTTATTTCATGTGAATAGAGTTGAAAAATATTGTTTTCTAATCTCCACGTCTGAATCAAAACTCTGACCGTGACCATTTCAAGTAACTAACACCTTTATAGTTAAAATCATGAGTCAATTAAAGCCAGACCACCATAGGAAACCTAAAAGCACTGGATGGCTATTTCGTACTAATGCGGGACTCCTCTGTATAACTTCAACCGATCCACGGAATTGAGCAACCGTCCACCATTGTCTTTAGTGAGTTATTATCTCATGACAGACTCGGTTGAACTCCACTGGTCACTACTTCTCGCTAGGACTCCAGGAAATACCACTTGGAGCCTGTCACTAGTAAGCATATGATAGGTCCTGGGTTCGAATCTCACAGGCGGGATCGTGGATGCACTCTGCTGAAGAGTCTCACAATAGGACAAAATGGCCGTCCAGTGCTTTCAGGTTTTCCATGGTGATCTAACTTCAATTGACTCATGATTCCAACTATAAAATTACCTAAAATCTCCACAAAACTGCCTTTTGATAACTAGCACTTCTTGATGTTATGATTCTCAACGAATTGTATATCTATATAAATATTGTGATAAAATGATAAAGCATTGAGTCAAGAATATTATGACCTAACAGACTATGTTTGTATAGAATACCTGATATACGAAGATTATGTTGTAAATTCAAATAGGTCTTTCACAAGAATTATGATAAAAACTAAGGATGAACTTATTGATATTGTATTAAATCCTTGTGGATTTTAACAATTGAGCAAAAATAAAAGATTTCTTTTATAGTGCGTTATTTATTTATAAATTTTATATTTATAGAATGTATTGTAAACAAAGGGCATCAATCGAACGTGAGTATGGTCAATCATTACAAAAACTTGTGAATGGTTTTCTTTCAAAAAAAGAATTAACAACACAGTCATCTTATTCATCAGAGAATGATACTATACTGTAAGGATTGTCTTCTATATTTTTTTATATAGAGATAAAATATCAAAATTGATTATTATTATATGTTATTATTATTATTGTTATTATTACTCATTATCATCTCCGTTTTTTAGTCCCAATAAGCAATATAACGTATGGCATATATGGTATTCATTGTTAGCCGAATCGAATAATTTGGCATTATCACATTTACGTGCTTCAGATAATCAACAAAGATTGTCTACTGAACTCAAACCACTTAAATATCAACGTCTGTCAGTTAATAAACGTGTATTTGAACAATTAAAAATCCTTCAAGTAAGAATACTTAACCGCTTATCATATCGGTGATTTTTTCTATTTTATTACTAATTTTTGAATTAACCTCCAATTTAATTGAAAGCTCATTTGGTGAAAGGAAATGATTTTCTTCCGGTTTTCCAAAATATTATCAAAAGTAGCATTACTCGCGAACACTAACATTGATGGAGAAATTTATGCTAATCAGAGAGCTCTGAATAGCTGCTTCATGAGATGATGAAGATTTGTAGATCAGGTGGATGATTTTGATGGAGTTTTGTTCTCTGAGTTTGATGGTTTGGTCTTAGAGCTTTCGTCGTTCTTCTGAACGACAGCACAAACCTCTGATGTCGTTATTGGCAAGTTATATTTTTGAGCCTAGATAAGAATAAACCTAGGGTTTTCAAGTCTTGCCGAGTTTGATATCATTCAGTAGTCGGATTGAAATCTAATAGTTTTTCTTCTCCAACTCCATCCAATCTAAGGTGAACCATGATTCTTACCCAATGTCATTAGTGGATGACTATCAAACTCTCTAATCCGTTGCTCCAAAATCCATGGTTTTTTATTAGATTGTGGTAAGTTATCTGTTATTGGAAATCTTATACTGGAATAAATATCCATGTAAAAATGCACATCATTAACAATACGCTTTAAATGGTTAGTTCCTCAAAACCAAAATCTTTTTGTTTTGAACTTACTGATTCTCATTTTTTGCTGTAATTGGTCCATTTGATTTGTATATATATATTTACCTTTTAGGGCACAATTATATTAAATACTTATATTCACTACAAATTACATTTTCTTTTTATCATTCATCTTTGTCCCCATTTAAAAGCACTTGCTCAATTTTTTTAAGCCGTATGCTGTCTCAGTTACTCGATTAGAAAACTACAGTTTATAATGAGCATTATATATATCTGTCTAAAGTTTCCCATCATATTAAAAATGGATGTATAAACAAAAAACTTTAATTGTGAATTAACAATCGCCAACTCATATGCTAAAATTTTAAAAGATGTATTTACAATAAACGTGGCTATTCTTTTGAATCATTAATTTAGATCTCTAACTGTAAAACCTAATAATAATATATTGTAAAGAATATCATTAATCTATATATTTGAGTTTTAATATACCTTTTATTAATGCCGCAAATAGACGTAGCACTTGCATACGGAGAGTAAATTTAGAAGTGATGGCCATTCAGTAGATCTTCTAGACAAAATTTTGATGACTTCTCATTTGAGTCTAATCATTATCTATTTATCCTTTTGAATTTATACCATTGATAAGGAATCTCCTAATCCAGGTTATCACAGAAACTATAAATATACTTACAAATAAGTAATAAGTTTAAAAGTATATCAAGATTTACTTCAGACGGAAGTGTTATATTTTGAGCCCATATAACTGTTGTGAAATGTTATGAAACTTAGTAAATTTTTTCTCTAATTTATTACTCATAAAAATTAAAAATGTGCACAGAATTTCTGAACTATTATGTTTGGGTACTTCGGTTTATTGAAATTTATCGAAATTTATAAAAGGGACTAATTGCTTCAAAGTATTGATGTTTGAAAAAAGTGTGTTCGCTTAAATGTACAATTAGATGTCAACATTTTAAATTTATGGTGAAGTATGTAGAAATCGCCCCTACTTTGAACTTTAATTCATGCTAGCATGTGATCTGAATAATCCAATCGATGATATCTCTATTTATTGCAAACTAATCACCGTAAATCATTCAATGGTTTAAAATTGTAATTTTACTAACTAGAAATGTTTATAAAGGATTAGGATTTCGCGATCTAATAATTCTGCACGGTCAATGACATTGATTACGTTTGGGCAGCTCAATGTTCCACACACTATTCACGAGGGCTGTCTTATGAAATGTCAATTAATCTTATTTACTGCAAATTATTTTTATTATACCAGTATGTCTAGTCTTTAGAATGCATATGAAATCGCCTTCATATAATTCTTTTCCAAGTTGAACTGCCTTAGAATCAAATCACAATTTGGTGAACGAAGGACTGAGATGTGGAAAACCAAATTATTATTCAATGCAAATTTGCAGAGTGCGTTCATAAAATATGAAAACTATACATTCAATACATCATTTGCACATCTTCTTTACATACTTCATGACTCTTCCAGTTCAGTTGTCATTACAGTTACTCTCTGTTTCCATTCTTGTTTTTTTCAATTCAATCTTCTGTTGGTAGGCATTCCACATCCGACTGCTGTTACGTACTACTTATATCTGTCAGCATAAGCAGTACGCACTACAATAACAGTTGAAGTATCGCTGTATCAGATTGTATCAACCAGGGTATCAAAGCATCATGCACAAATGATGATGATTTTCCTTAGTTTTTCATGTTCATTTGTAATTAGTTCCTGTGTTGTTTTCTTTTCGTTTTCAGGGAGATCTAGCTGCATGTGTTCAAGAAATGGTAAAATCTCATAAAGTTTATGCAGAAGAAGAAAAGCAAGCACAAGAAACCCGTTTAAAAACATTGGCTGCTAAAGAAAAGTAAGAGTTAAAATTTAATTGACGTTTTCATTTATTAACCAGATGTAAGCAAAACAAAAAAACAATTATATATGATTTTAAATAAATGTGTTTAGCTCTATATCAATTTTTTTTTTAACAAATTCTTCTCTGATAGATTTTACATTTAAGATGAAATTTATGGTTGTTTGCTATTTTATAAGACTTGGTACTATTTCACTGATAAATTTGACGATTCCATCAGAAGTAAATACAGTTATGATTAATCATCCAATACTCAGGGATCATTAAACATTGAATGACAAATTCTATAGTATTTCATGTTCTTAAATTTGTGTAACAGTTTATATACCAAACTTTATATTATTTTTTGTATTATGTAAGCTAAAACCTTTCATTACTAACTTCTAAAACTCAAATCTATTATAATGAGAAAAAGCACAATGCAATGTATGATCAGAGTAATAGAATTAAAGTTGTTCGAAATAGAAACGTACAATTAATAAACTAGCATAAACGTGAAATTAACTCAAGCCGTTAAATACGATAAACTGTAACAAAGTCAAAATCAATTTAGGGTAATTATACTGGATTCATATTAACAAGAGGAATTGGACAGTGTTTCTATATTACTAACATGTTTAGCTGGAAGTTAAATTTAGCCTAAACATCTACTATACAGATCGGAAGTGAACTTGCAGATCTTAGCTTATTCTGTTTAGTTTAGTAAGTATTGCTGACCAAACACCCTTTAATAACGTGATTACAAACTATAATGGTCTACAAGACTAAAATAAATACTTTTATATATATTCTATCTGACCATACTAAAAGTTTTATTAAAAAACCGTATAAGACTTTCCCTATAATAACTACTGATTTGTTTCTAAAAGAGCAAGTTGTTTCACCTATAATGAATTTCTCAATGTCCAAACCCTTCGAAAATCAATTTTTTCTTAGTAACGTTACTTGCTAATAAAATTCACTTTTTAATGGTTTTTACTTTACATAAGCTCATAGTAATATTGGATGTTTCATATAACATCTCTTGAAATATTCAGTGAAATATTTTAATACAGCTTGGGTAATGAAACAATCATCTTGTAAGCAATACATTTGTTTGTAAATTAGACACCCTTTGTAGTTACTGTTTGTTGTATCACATATCTATGTGAAGGACTACAAAAAGTGTATGGAGTGCGGATTCATGTACTAATCTTGATGTAATAATTTTTGTTTGAACTGCCAAGATTACTAATTCACCGTCACAAAAAATGAGATGAGTCAGTAGTTTAAGTTATATAACAGGGTTTTTAAAACAAAGTGTACTAACCACTGGGCAAAGTAATAAGAGATTTAACAAAAACATTTTCAGGATTTTATACACTTTAAATGTATCTAAACGAAACAGTGTACGAAAATGTTTGCCGTACGTTCTTCTGGTTGACCAAACACTTGATGGATTAGTAATTTCTACAACTAATTATATTTTTAGGCAACAATAACGAAATATTTTTTTAATAGTGGTGAAACAAATTCATCACTAAAAATAAATGCAAATCAGATCTGAAAAATATTCGAAGAAATCTGTTTAGGGTCAAATTTAACGTAACGTGGTTTTCCAATTTTTTTCCAACACTTAATTAATATGTTATATTGACCAAGGATTTACTTTTTTTAAAACGGTTTATTCAATAAAGATTTAATAACAGTTGTTCCTCTTTAAACTTTTATTAAAAGAATTCAACGCCGATCCACTGATATATTCCATTCCATGGCGCAGTTACATAGGAATTATGATAAGGTAAGGAACGTGTTTTATGATATTTTCTTGTTTCAAATTATCAATCGTTTAGTTGAGTTAATGCACTACAGAAAATTGATACAAATCTGATGATGAATGATATATATATATATATATATATATATATATATATATAATCGTTGATAAAACAGTAAGCTACTCAGTGTTCCTTAGGTATTTGAAGTTCCCCCTCTGATATCGATCCACGTTAGGAAACCATCTACTAATAGAAGAAAGATATTCACAGAGCATATTCCTTAACGTCAGTTTCATTCACAAACATTCTTAGAGACTTCGTATTTTAGTATTTTTCATACCAATGGCTCAAGCTATCCTATCATACATTGTTTTATTGTTTTAGCTCCTAGGTAAACGTCAAGCATTTGATTCCAGATCAACTACTGCCAGAAATGAATATCTCTTTCAATTGACCGCGATCAATGCTCATTTGAAACATTACTTCAGTGAAGATTTACCTGTTTTAGCAAAGGTAAATATTTTACTAGTGTGTAACTTTACATAAATAATACCTTATAGTTTAGGTATTGATCAGCTGGCTATAGTCGACTTAAAAAATATATTAGCACCGTGAGATATAAGCTTTACAAGCTGAGCAGATTGTGTAGAAAGCAACTTCAAATATAGTGCATAGATAAACACAAAACGTATTTATATTGATCTACTCGATTTAAGCATAACAGTCCGGTTGAATTTTTGTTACTTTTTATCGTTGAACACATAAACCTGTATTTGATAAATAAGTTACATTATGAATAATTGCTCGTTAAATGAATAGGATTATATGACTACGTATAATGTTGGGTGATGGCTACAATGATGTAAATGCAATTCGATTATTCCAGTGTTTGAATCACCCTGTATATCATCACATATATTTTAAAAGATTTCACTTGAAAAATTTGATATTTCTATGACGTAAAAATATACCTCTGTTTTATCGAGATTTGTTTACTGTCTTATTGGCCACTGTCGACTATGTAACTGTGAAATATTATAGGGTAATCATGTCAAGCTATTCAAAGGCTGACTATGCGATAAGTATTATCGGTAGATTATTATTCGCCAATGTAATTGTTCTAATGTCATGCATTATTTTGGATTATTTGAAAATTAGATAATTAATTCCTTCTTTATGACCGTCAGCATTAAATTATCAATCTTAAGAATTATAATATTAAAATTTGAACTTATTGATTTAATAATGTTCCTACTGTTGACTTCACCTGTTACGTAGACTTTAGATGGAGAATTATATGAAAAATTAGGTGAAGTGTTCACAACTCTTTGTGAAAATGAAATTGAATTCTGTACACTTACGCAAAAGCGATTTAACAATCTTTTCAAAGAATCCTCACAAGTAAGAGTTCATCAAATTAGCATATTATTATTTTACTAAAAAAAACTAAAAATCATTTACTGGTGAGTATTTCAACTTTCCTTGATGCGCTGAATGTTTATGACAGTATTTCAGTAAAGAAATCATATTATATTTTCGATCAAGATATGTTATTATCTTTATTAAGCATTTAACAGTATCTAGCCTAATATAAGTGATAGTTAAACAATAAAGTGGTTTATTTGTGCTTATTAAACGAAGTTCATTTTCAGGACATACCTCATGTAAAAAGCAAACCTATATTTCTTCTGATATTCGGATAAACGTCTTATCATAGCAGAACGTAGGATAGGTTAAACGAATTCCACTCAATTCAAAGTAGAATATTCAAACATGCTAGAAGATATATAACTCATTTGCTAAATCTGACTCAAAAAAATATTGGTCTAAACGTCAGTGAGTTTGTGAAGGCTAGTATTACTACGTCTTTACTTAAAACCACTGAGATTGAGAGTGTTTCGAACTTTTAACCTACTTTTAACTAAAGCAGTATGTTGGTTCTATATTTAAAATAAAATTGTAAATACTTTGACATAATATCTTTTCTTGCTGAGTCTTAAGTGGTAGGGTTGGCAAATGTAAGATTAGAGAATGAATCATATTATATAATGAATTAGATCATACAAAACATTCAATGGCAGTTGACAAACCAATCTTTAAATTATTTTAAGACCATTGATTGAATGGATGTAAACTATTAAAAAGCATGTAATAGAATGAAAGAGTTACTCAATATTACTTTAATTCCAATTAATATGTAATTTACATAAGCCAATTATCAAAATGTCTTTCATAAATAGTTAGCTTCTAATTATTTGACATTTTTAAATTCATATTTATTTTAATTACTGTTTAGTGTTAGATTTAAATACTGTACAACTATTTAGTTGAGTTTACTTTATTCATTTAAAAGGAAACTCTATAAATTGCAAAATTAGCCAAAGAACAATATTAGTGACTTTAGTTCATATAATATAACTACAAATGAAGTTTAAATAAATAAAAGAATATGATTTAGGAATCATGGTTTTTTGAGTTCATTGAACTAGATCTATTGTTTTAATCTTTTGTCTTGTTACTCATTTCGTATAAATTTCAAGACATTATACTATGTGATGATTTCATTATTTAGAGGATCTGGAAATTAATAATTAATATCAGTAGTTAGCTTTTGCCATTGAAATAAAACTGACTTCGTGAAAATTAATCATTTTATAGTACTTATTTCAATCAAAATCCCAACACATAACCCTTTCGATATGTCTGTCAAAAATATTTTGATTGTGGTCAGTATTTAAATGTTCACTACGTTAAATGATATGGTATGAATTATTTACGTTTCCAACTATTATTTAACTGTTTACTTCAATGTGTAATTGTTTATCTTCCTCATAAATGTCATAATAACTAATAACTATTATCAAATAGATTAATCGCACGAACGCCTGGGAAGATTTTCTAAAATTATCACCACTTTTTAATAAACCCGTTCAATATCAATTTGAACCAATTAAAGGAGACGAGGTAAATTTAAACTAGTGGATATTTATTTTACTTGTTCATAGTTTTACAATTGAACATTATTCAATAAACGTTTTCTATACGATTGGTTTTAAAGGAATTTGTTATGAGTAACTTTTTTCGATAGGTCATTTAGCCAACTGTCACGAAAATACCACTGATATTTTAATATTAATTGTTTTATAAAGCGTGATCCGTTACACGTTCAATAAATTTGAGGCAAATTTTTCTATGCAATACTTAAAAAGAAATCTGTAATCAGTGTCCAGAAAACGTACCAATATGTAACTAAAGTTAACCGTGTGAATGTTAGATATATTGGTGATTAAGTTATAACGTCGTCTATGCAATCCATAAAATGTACAACGTAAACATGTTGCTTATAATATGAAATAGTTTTTGTAAAAAAACAACATCAACAACCATATATTGGCTTCAAAGTTTCATTTTAAATATGATATAGTCTTGTTTACACTTTTATGAATGAATTATCCAGATTTTCGATTGAATATGATAAAAATATAATTACTGAAACGGAAATTAAATTTAGTCATTTTACTTTTCAATTCACTGTCATATCTGGATTATTGGTCAGTCGGTTATAAGCAACGTTGAAAAGGTATTTATGTGCACACACTACATCAGGACAAAAAGATGAAGTTATCAGTATTTGTATCAAAGTAGTAGAAATAGTAGTATTAGCATTGGTAGCAAAAAGATTTCAGATAGAGAACATTGTTCTAGAAACAACAATTAATTCGCGAAATGAATGTTACCTAACATCTCTAACAATTAGTCACGATAACACAACGGCTTCAAACCAGATGGTCTACACTTATCAACATGGCTTAGACCAATAACTTTACAGACTGACACCACATCTGAATTGGTTTGCCGCCCAACTCGTTTAACTATTTAACTCCCTATGATCAGTCCAAACGCTGACACAAACCAGTCCCAAAGCAATATTTTACGCTTAAAGGGAAATGTATGCATCTCATCCGTTCCTGCGTTGTTGCTCTAGGCCAGCAGAAAACTCTGCTTTTTTTCAGTTTTCGACCAGTGAGTTACAGGTTTAAAATCTGTCTCACATAATTTATTGTGAGTAGCTGTGTAGCATAATTTATTGTCATACAAATAGTAAGGTTTAGACTACAGTCAATGAACCTGCAACAACTTGAAAACACACAGTCATCTTAACAAGCCAGGGCTGTCCTCTGAAATTTAACAAAACATTCATGCTCATTTTGCAACTTTACGACTTTATCTGTCAAATGAAAATAAAAATGGACTAATTGTACAGAAGTTATATACAGTTGCATAATAAAGATGTAAAACAAATGTTCATTTTTTTACGGGTTGTTTAATGAATAGAACGATTTATGAATAGTTTGGTCAAATGACTGTGTTATATAGATTGCATGAGAACGAGGAGAAACAAAACAACATATCGATAAAATGAATTTGGATTGCATGTACTTACTGAGTGTAAAATTCTGGTGATTGTTTACTGAGAAATATGGTATAACTACGGAAAGAGGGCAGTGACTAAGTTTATTTGTCTGCGGATATCCATAACTACTGCTGTAAACAAATTTAATACCTTTCTATCTTGTTACTTTTTTGCATTATAATGCATAGACCAGTATTTTATTAAATCATTTTCTACCATCATTTATTATTCAAATTTAGACAACAAAGCTGTGCTCAGATACAAATGAAAGTAATTTAGAACAAATTGCACGTAAACTTTCAAGACGGTTAGTGATACGCGAAAGATGTATTAAATCTTATGAAAATGAAATGAAAATGTTACAGGCTGGTTATGTTACTTCAGTGTCTAGTATGATAACTGAATCTAATCATCAAATACAACAACAACCGACTAATTCGGTGAGTTGACCAAATTTAATGGGTTATTGTTAGTATTGATTTTGGTTTTCTTTTTTATTATATGGAATCGTTAATCATGTGATCAGGTATTCGACCACGGTTCATTAATCATTTTACTGCACTTTAAATAAATCTCTATATTTTCTATAAGTCTATAAATACTTCGTTTGATTTTCTACTTAATTTATAAACTTGTGCATAGTTATTTTATTGAATCTATGTATTTTTATTGATATTTTTTAACTATTAGCGTATATTTAAGTATATCGTTTCTGATTGTGTAAGTTGAACACTTACTGATCAAAAGACTGAGAAGTTTCAGTTCAGTAAATGCGTTGTAGCTAGTTGTAGAATGTAAGACACGTTTTGGTCTTGTTTGAAACTTTCTAGCTGGATGTACTTTCGAACTTATGAAACGTTAGACAAAAATTTACGCAAAATCAATGAATATGTATAACAGAAATCTTCCCAAGGTTTTTCATTTTCGGTTTCAGTGAAACGAGTTTAGCAATCACAATGTTTCGTTGATTTGTTTTTCCTTTTTCTATTTTAATCCTGATCACATTTTATCTCCACAAGTAAAATTTCACCATATTATACAACTATTACTGTATATATCTATGAATAATGTTCATTGCGTAAATTTCATTCCTTATTCGTGTAGTTATTATATTTATTTGTTTATAGACCTATTAATAGTTTCAGTAAAATTAACTGAAACTTTCCTAAATTAGTCTAAGACAGTAATTGAATAAAAACTCCATTGTTCTTCATCAAATTTATAAAAAATTATCATAGATGCTACGACTTGATCATAAAAATTCATGTTTTTTTTTTTTACCGAGGAATTTATAGGTACATGCTGGTAAATTGTAACGCAATTGATTTTCTATTTAAGCGGCGTATTATTACACAATTATTAGCGGATTATCATCATATTTACCTACGGAAGTTGACATTCTTCGAATATATTAGACATATGTATTTTTCCAAGGTTGTTAACATCACGAAAGTTGGATTAAACTTCAAAACAAGTGAGAAACTTATGAAAAAAGATTGTTTAGGTTAAGCAAAGGAAAAAAAAACTGACACTACAAATAGACGAATTAGTAATAAGGTTGATTCATAATTTATATGAGTACTATAATATTATCTTCAGGCTCCCTTGAGCTGTCGACCTAATCTTCAAGCCAAAAACGATGACACAGTATTCCAGGATATGGTTTCATCATACGCAGATACTTCATATTTTATTTGTTCTTCTAAGTTATTTTAGCCTATTTACACTACTAGCCTGTATTTCTATTTTTAAGAATACTGTAAGTAGAGCATCTATATCCAGCAATCCAGTTCTTTAGATTTATCTATCCCACTTTTGGAGTGTAGATTTGTCCAATTGAACACAGCAAGTAAAACATATCTAGAATAGACTAAGCGTTAGCACTATGATAATATTACTAAAGGGAAATTGTATCGTACCTACTCTCGCCAGTGTAAAGGTGTTTGGTACAAACTTAACTAATTACATATACTTTCTAGTATTTTTATTTTGTAATGTTTGGAAGATTTGTGTACTCGGAATTTTCTTTCATAGGAAACGGAAAATAATAATGAACTATTAGCATTCAATCAAGAATATGTTGAGAATAAAGTTGAAGAATTACAATTCGCTATACGTCGTGAAAAGGTATAATATTGGCTTCCTTTTATTTGTTTTCCTTGTGTTGGTATTTGCATTATATCTCAAACATATTTAATTTATCTGGAGACAACCGAATGATTTTGTTGGATAATCTTCTGTATATCTTGCAAGAACGGTCGATAAGGCTAGGGGTTCATTAATATATGGGGATTTGTGGAGATTGTTGAATCTTGGTTTGCGTCGCAAACTGACGCTAGTTAGAAAACCACTAAAAGCCAGGAAGTATTGGTTTGCTGTCTTATCCTAGTATAGAACTCCTCAGTAAAATGCATCTCCGAATGCGAAGCTATGAACAGTGGACATGTCAAGAATGAAGTATTTATCCACTAATAACGTTGGGTGATAATTGAGTAACATCTCAAATTAGTTTAGGTTATAAATGTATCACAACTAAGTAATCTTAAGGTTAGGGGCTAATTTCAGGACCCGAAAATCCTGGGTTCTATTCCTGGTGTGGTTCGTAATACGTACTGCTGAGACGTTCTATAGTAGTACGAAACAGCCGACAGGTGCTTCTTGATATTCGATTGTTGTCCATATAGTATAAATCCATGATAATGATTAGAAAACCTGATTGCACTTATTATCATGCCTGCGAAAGTTATAAACAAATTCGTAGTTTGAAGATAACCTACATGTTCGACTAATATCATTTAGACAACTGTTAAAAACTAGGGAGCACTGAGTACCAACTCATCAGACTAAAATTAAGGCGCTTTTCACAAATCTGTATTGGTTCAAATTCTGATCCTCGATTAAGCCATGCATGGTCACTGCTGAGTAGTTCGGTAATAAAATGAAACCATCGACTAACTTCATTTTTCAACAAACGTTCAATCAAAGCAACTATCTTCAAATCTGACATTGTTCAAAAGCCTCTCATTTTATTAATTTGCAAATAGATCTTAAACAGTGGAGCCTAATATTCAAACCATTGATGTTTTAAGTAGTATGTCTTACTCTTGAACTCTGTTTCATTCAATTTCATTTGGGTAGCAGAGTAGTATAATTAGTCCGCCTATAAATAGTTTAATCCAAAACAGACTACACAAACACGATTGTGCTCCAAAACTAGTGAAGCTAAACACCATTCTGCCATTATCTGTTTTCTGAGAAAAGGCTTTTATAGCACTTTTATAAACTTCAGCAATTTACTGTTAAACACTGTTTCCGATGAGTAGATGTTAGTTCTATTTGTCAATTATCCAACATATTTAGTCATCTCTGTAATTATTTTCTTACAATATATGAGTTGTAACATTCAACAATTAACTAACTTACGGCTATCGTCCAAAACTTTCTAATTTCCTTTTAGAATAGTTCTATATCATTATCTATCGGTAGGATGTCAAAAGAAGTTTTCAGAAAACCATTAGTTAATTTTTTTCATTGTATAATAAAAAGAAAAGAAAATGAATTTCCACTAAGCCTAAAATACACTTTTGACGATATGACATCAAAATAGAAATTTATTAACAGGGGAGATTATATTGGAAATTCAACTTATTAATACATATTTCATTAAAAAGAAATTTATTACATTTTTGTCGACAACCTAAAATAAACTTCATCTGGTACTGTAATATTTTAAAATTAAAAATAGAAACTTAAAAATAGTATTTCACAAAATTAAACTAAAAGATATTACTTAATGCTAATTAACTAATCAATTGGGCTAACAATATAACTGTTTTAATCATCAATGAGATCATAAGAATTACACTACTGCTGTTGGAATATTGATGTAGAATATTTAAACGAACTAACTACCGTCTAATATCCTTTTTTCATCTCACTTTAGTCCTCATTGTCGATCGAATTCTATCGACCGCATTACAATGTTGTCACTAGTCTTCTTCAATGAAAAACGTTTATTTCTTTTCTAATTAATACCATTCAATTGCTTTTGAACGTGATAGAGTTATCTCTTGGGTCTCTACGATTGTACTGAATACAACAGAGATGTCTTGAAACTTTAAGATGTTTGTAATCGTTCCTGATCATTTTGAAAAATAAATAGAAAAAAAACTGTCGTAAACCATTATAAATTCATAATAGGAAATTAGTAAGTTTGTCTTTGTATAAAAACATTAGAATGTTGCTCTGGAAAGTGTAAAAACCATCGGTTGACCAGAATCAAAAACTGACAACATGCATTATCGAATTATTATGAAATGAAATTCAGATATATCTGAAAAAATTAGGGTAAGAGAGAATCAGACACTGGCCGCAACGATATTCTTGAAGTGAATATGATAATAGAGAATTAATTAAAGTTAAAGAGAAAATAAAATTACAAAAAATTCAGATTACCATGGCAACTATAATTTGACAGTTGTTTACACCTGAACTTATAGGCTTATTTTGCGACTGTTAATAGCAACCACTTCAATAAAACTGGGTGAACTAACACCATTTCGTCATTAGAAGGTACTGCTTTTCATTTTTCAAAACCACATAAACATACTTCAATCGATTCTAATTAAAAAATGCTGTTCGTACGCTAAAGGTATATTATTCGTTTTCTAGAAAAATACGATTTTCCAATGCTTTACAAATTTCAATATATTTTTATAACCAAACGGTTATTAATCAATTATCTCCTTGTCACATATTGAAAGAACATTGGTAGTACTTTTTACATAATAATACAGTCAGAATATTGTTGCGAAATTCTAAACAAATTTCTGCGGGATAATCGACTCATGAATAGATTAACATAATAATGGTACGATGAAATTTAACAAGTAGATATTTCTTTTCTGCAGATTTACATAATACGTGTATGGAATGTAATATATTACTGTAAAGCCAGAAACTCTCTATAAACTTGGAAATTTTTTCCAAGTGTATGTTGCTATTGAATAACTACCATCATTACAGACCGTAAAATACCGTTTTTATCTGTTTTATCATGGTAGTAATATAAAAGACCATGAGATGTATTTGCTTCAATCGTTACCTGATTGTAGGATGTAATTAATCTTTCCTATGAAAATTTTTCATGAATGTTTATTATTAAGCATTTAATTTTGGAATAAAGTAAGAATTTCGATAATGTAATGAGAAGATGAAGATTATCAGAACTATGTGATATATTAGCGCAATACATTTCGAACAATCTGATCACACATATACTTGTTAAGAACATTTATATATAAAAATAAAAGGTCACCTAGACTGGAAATAGGTGTAAGAATAGACAAGGATAATAATGATAAAATAACGTGAAAACAATTTGACACCTAATCACTCTGGATAATAAGCATATATTACCAGGGTAGGTTTAAGGTGGGAACAAACTGTTTTTGAATACACAAAGGGGGTTTGAATTTTCGTATCGCAGAGGCTTCAATAAATCTCAGTATACGCCCTTTTACACTTTTAAACAACACAACAAAAGCCGAGTTTAGATCAATCTTATGACCTGTTTCGATTATATGTTTAGCAATAGAGGATGATGGATGTTTATCATCTACTCTTATTGGGTCATTCGACTCTATTTGTTTTTGCAACCATTTTGGTACATGTTCACCCACCCTAATTTTCAGATCACGATTGCTCCTCCCTATGTATGTTTGACCACACACACATTTAAATTGGTAAACGCAGTGGGATGTGACACAATCATTTTCATGTCGTCTAGGTTTTGAATGAAGCATGGACCTCGTTCTTTCCTTGTTTATGACTTTCGCAGCACAATACGTTTTGTTGATAACAGATTTAAGCCTTTGTTTCAATAAAAGGCTATTTGAATCACCTCTAAATGGTAAGGTGATGTAGACAGGCTTTTTCTCTACCAAGGCTACAGTAGGTCTCGCTGTGCCCTCAACTTTCCATCTATTGATAAATTTAGGTGGATAGCCATTCCCGATTAATGTCTTGGTTAAGAAGAACGACCAACTTCCCTTCCTAGATGTACTTCTAAACAGACGAGAAGACGGCTCAATAAAACGATCCATTTTTGGAAAACCGACGTGGACGGGTCAATATCTTAGTTACTATAGTTATTGCCCTGTGCAATACAAACGTGGTTTGGTAAAGTGCTTTTTTAACAGGCTTCGTCGTATTTGCACAAATGAAATTTCTTACAATGTGTTTTCCTCTACATTTAGCAAATATTGAAGAGTTCTCTTCTTTCCTCATTTTTATTTCTCTATAGATTGAACAAGTAAAAATTGAAGCTTGTCTATCATTATTACGTAACTCATCCAGTAAGTTACAATGGTTCCTTTAAATTATACTTTCTTTTGCTTCAGAACTTATCTTGCATACAGAAATGATGAAAATATTTATAAGACATTGTAAGATGTTGATGGCTACCATATTTAGACCGAACATCCCTTACGTGTCAGAATTTTCAATGACTGAATTGGCTATTGACAAATAAACCATGTCCTAACTACCGTACAATCTGAGTTGCAATGGTTGCTAGCATAAGGATCTGTTGATCGAACAATATTGATCAGAAGTGTATCCGGAGTCAAATGTTCCGGTTCATGTCTGTTGGTTACAAATAGTTGGACGCAAATGATATAGCAATATATCAATAATTCCAATTCAGATGTATCTGATTCTTGTTTCCCTCTTCACAATGATTCCTAATATTTATACCCTTTATCTTTTCAATTTTTTTCCATGGTTTCCAATCCACGCTCTAACTTCTACTTGATACTATCATTTGTACAGTGTGATTTATAATATACTAATTTCCATTCTATTAATTTCTTACCTTATTGCGTTGATGTGAAATGTAGTGAATTTAATTAGTTGACATGTGAGTCAAGCCCTAATTTATGAATGATTTACTGAATAGGAGTATCAACGCTTATGGAATAGTTTGAACTTCGAACAAACAAAATTCAACGGATATAACAAAATAATATCCATTTCTTGTAATAAGCATGAACATTAGTAATTGTGTTTTAAACATGTATTGCCTTTATTATTCTTTTTAAGATTCTTCTTTGCATAATATTCTTTGAAAATCTTTTCACATAGGTCAAATAAATAAATAGAAGACGGTAGAAATAGAAACACTTTGCTAACCACATAGATTATCTAAAATCCGTAGCCAAATATAATTAAAAGTCAATCAATCGATAGTTACCTTTTGAAGAGGATATATATATATATACATATGATATTTTGATAAGTATAATTGATTAGGGGATGATAGCAGGGGGTTTACTGTTTTATATTTGATATCAAAACTGAATACATACAAAATTATATTTCCATGAAAGATATTTGGACATTAAAAATGAAAAGTTCAGCCAAGGGATCTCTTTTCAACGAATTTATTATCAAGCTGTACAATCTTATACGAATAAATATGAAAATGTTATTGGTAATAATTTTGTGAGGATACATGAACAAAGAATAAGCATAAATAAATAGTATGTTTGTAGTATTCCGATGAGTAGAAAATCTAATCTCTCTACTCATTGAGCTATTACAAATATATTATTTGTTTATAACAATCTACCCAATGCTGAATTTATTCGAAATTATCAAATCGAAACCTGGTAATGCTACCTACAAAGAATATACTTGTTGATGTAATGGAGAGGTTATAATGCTAGATTACGAAATGTGATCAGTAACAATTAAAGTTTGTATGTGCAAAATAAAAAGCCTTGTAAAATTTATAATTTAGCAACAAATTATGGTGTGAACGAAGTTAGATAACCAAAAAGTTTGTGTTACAATAATTAATGGTAATAGACGGGTTACATGAATAATTAACTTTATTCAATAGGATTACTGCCTAGTATATGGTTTAATAATACTTATATACAAGAAATAAGCCAGTAGATTATTTTGTAAACTTCTTGTCAAATTATAAATCATAGGCTGTACATTCGAATTTATATTTTTTGAGTCTATAGAAGGACTTGCATATTATTTTTTATCTTTCTATTCTTTTCTATCCCATTGTTCATTACCTAACCTTCTTTTGAAAATTAAAACCTGGAATCACTTTATAATGTAACCTCTTCTATCCTTCCTTAGACTCATAAAAGTAATAAATAAATATATACTACAATAAGAGATAATGAATGAATTCAATACATGGAATAAAATAACAATAAAAATTCAATATAGTCAGATCAACACGTGTAGCAACTTTTGAAAATAATAACCACTCCTCGTGTCCAGAACTAATCTTTTTATGTACACTTTTATTTTTCTTAAAAATTCCAACTTTATTTGTGTCATTCATATGTCGGAAGGAGTTTGGTGGAGATTTTAGTAATTTTATAGTTGAATTCATGAATCAATTGAAGCTAGACAACCACTGAAAACCTGGAAGCACTGGACAGCCGTTTCTCCCTATTGTGGGACTCCTCAGCAGTGCGTATCCACGATTAATTCGTATGTTTTTATTAACTCAAAGAATATACCTCAATTTTCAAATAGTGGTAGTTTTCTTTTAAAAATCTATCCGAACCATAATTAAAATTTAAAAATAATCCGTATAACCAATTTTCTATTTCTCTTCAAATTGAAAACATTGTTTTACTACTTAATTGCTTGATGAATAAGGTATAGTTTTTAACCAATATTATTGAATACATATATATCCATTTAACTAATTAATAATTGTCCGATTACTCTAGTTACAATGATCAACACTTGTCGAATTATATTATGTTTTAAGCGTTTCTACTCAAAAAAACGTCGCTAGCAGTTAATAAAATCAAATATTTCAATCTAACATTTTCATTTCTCTGAATTTATATTTTCTTTTTTCATGAAAACTATTTATTTACTCTGCTTAAACAATCATTTTGATCTTGAATATAATTTTTTTTTAATATCTTCCTGTTGTTTAACATCATTTAGCTGTCTTTTTTGTTTGTAGTTGATATAAACGAGTTTATTTCTGAAGCTCGTATAGCCGCGGAAGCAGCAGCTGTTGCTGTTCAATTAAATAATGACGATCGAAATAGTGATTTGTTAAATCATTCCACACCTAATCGGCAATCGATTGTTCGGCCTTTAGGTGAGGGAAGTAGTGATAGTGCAGCTAGCAGTTTCGGTGCAAATCAATTTATTGATCATGATTCCAGATTAGTAAGTGATTGGGATCAATCTAATGCACCGTATGGATCTGAACTTTTAGAACGTAATACAACAACGTATTCTTTTCAGAGAAGCTTCAATGTTAATGATGATGATGTCGAGGTAAATTTTAACAAAAAAACATATTACGTTTTTTAATTTGCTTTGTTATTTTTGTTGTTTTAGGGTGATTGTATTTCTTTTTCGTCATGGTTACCATTCTTCGATTCTATTAGCTTAAACATTTTAGTTCTGTATCTGAAATAACAAATGAACTTAAGGTTATTTATTTTTTTATTAATAATGGCTTTATTCAGCATTATATTTTCGGTACAATATTGAAGTCTGAGCTCACAGTATTTCAACAAGTTTCCTTTTCTTATTGCTTGGTCGATCCTGACGATCAATATTGAAATCCCGTAATGATACCGAGCAATTATCTTGTAAATCATCTAACTAGGATTCTTGAATTGTGATTACAAGACAATTACGATACCTGTTTTGACTTGATATGAATTAAAGTCAGTCCACCTTGCCAATTATCGGTCGCCAGTTAGATGTTAGCAGTTCAGGACTCAACATTTGATAATGTTCATTCATTTCAGTGCATATTGCCAACTACCACAATGTGTCTGATTGAACTTTTTTGTAACTTGTACAGCGAAAGCTCGTAAACGTTTCATAAACGCGCCTGAATAGGTTATGCAACTAATAGATATAATGATGTATTAAAACAAACAAAGAACAGATAACTTGTTGAGATATCTAGATGGCAGAAATAGGTAGTCCAGATATTCAAGCAGGCCGCCTTTATATATATATATATATATATATATATATATATACAGATAATAGATAATAATTAATGTAAATTCACTTGGTATTGTTTGTTTGAATCTTCCCCACTAATGTTTAGGACTGCAGCTGGTCAGTCTCTAATTGGCATATGTGCATACTGTGTGTATTGACTCGATATAGCCTTAATTCACAGACATTATAAACAAAGGTGGATAGTGGCTAGCAGTGGAATCCATGACGCGTTTTTCATCCTATTAGGGACTCGTCAGCTGGATGTACCTGCATCTCGGAGTTGATTTTCCCTTTGCGACTCGGACCCAGTACCGTTCGCTTCAAACACCATCGCGTTATCCATTCAGCTAATGAGTCCTGATAATTACTTGCTTGTGCAATAGGGTGAAGTTTAAATTCACTTGGTATTGTTCTTTTGAATCTTCCCATTGATGTTTAGGCCTTTGATTGAAATGTAGCCAATAAAACCTTGACAATAATATCACCCATCTGAGAAAACTCAGAATCTTCAAAACAATTTACTTAAGTGATTCTAATTTTTCTTTAATTAAAAAAATATAACACTTCTCAGGTCCGATCAATAATTCACATTTATGTACCTTGTTCATGTCTATTTTTCTTTTGTTTTTGTTGCTTGTTTTGTTCCTTTCAGTCAGCTAGTCGATTTCATAGAAATGGGATTAATAATTGGTCATCTACTTGTAAGCAAAGCCATCATTTTACTTTGTTTTCACGTTTCTACCACCATAATATTTTTAATTAATCATTACGTTATTAAACAGTCTTACACTGCTAGATCTCAGTTTTCTGTGGTTGATCAATTAAAATGATCACTTGAACATTCAAAAATGTTCAGTCTAAATTAAATGTTTAAATTAAATATAAAATGAACTTGTAACTTTGTTATTACTCAATAACCGTTTCATCCAAAAAGTTCTTGTCGGTGAAGTGTATTAGTCGTTAACATTCACAGTACCAAATACTGCATTGTGATACATGATATCGACTTATATGTAAAGAAACAGTAACTGCAATGTAATCTAGTGTCACGACACAAACCACTTATAACAATACACTAGATTTTAAGTATCATTGCCTAGGTTTGACTTGATACTTTCAAAGGAATTGAGCATGTGGTAAATTACTAAAACAAATTATTTCAAAGTAGGTTAAAAATATTAAATGTTTTGACGTTACGTGACTCACTATAAGCTACTTCTTCAAAGAATGATCATTCTAAATTTGATCAGTAAGATTTGTTCATGTTATATTTTGAGAAAACGCTAATTTTGCTATGGCTAGAGATCCTTATAGATATAATATACTATATTCCCTGTTAGATCGGTAACTTATTTCACAAATTTACATGCTAACTAATGAACAAAAACCAAGGCTTTAACGCTTACCGGCCCTTGAGCCACCTTTAACCCAGGAGATAATCAGAAGTCGATGATAGGAAGCAGACTAGTTCTTTGTTGTGCCCAATTCGTTTATGACTCAAAACTCATACCATAACATACTGAAAATGCCAGACTGTATAGACCAGAAAATAAGAAGTTCAACTTAAAATCCAATCAACTCATAAATGGTAGTGGGCTGAGCAAAGAGTACATTATCACTTAGCAACAATCAAGGAATATTAAAGCATATAACGATAGTCATTAGTTTGACTGAAAGCTTACAGTAAGGTCAATAAAGAAATGTAACCATACAGCCATTTACTAGTCGTTAAATAAAGATATAAACAATAATTAAAAAATGGTTCTGAAAATTTCAAATTCCTCAATATTTATCTTGCTAAAACATCTCTTCTTTAATGAAGAATCGTAGGAGTGTCCACATGCTTTGTATCTGCGATCTTTTAAAACTAGAAATTATTTAACAAGAAGAGTATCCATTGTTACATCCCGATGAAGGTTGTATAATTCCAAATTTCCGATATTTTCCTACTTTAATAAAATGAGCTCACCTTTTATAAACTGCATGTTCTCTTTTCTTACCTCTATATTTTTGTAAGGTAGGGGTTTAGGATCGTAGTATTTTTTGAATATTCTAATAATTCCAAGAGGGGTTCATTTACTGAATTCGATGTCGTTAGTTCCTCCAATATTGCTACAATTTCATATACATTTAATATCATATCGTCTTGTTGTGAGCTTAACAATTCACTAGTTATACATTCGGCTTTAAACACAACTGGGTTTGAGTTCGTCACAGGGTATGTTTCTGAAACTATCATTAATGAATTGCCAGGTTTAACAGGTGCAACTTCTGTATCGTCTAACTTACTGCTTGTCAATGTTTCCTGCAGTCCTTCAATGATATATTTATTCATTCTGCAGATATTTTCCACTGGAAGGTTCCTTTCCAATATTCATCCCTCCATAACAGTTCACTCCTTAAGATTAGATTACTAAAATTAACTGTTTCTCAATTATAAATAGTCCTTTTATCCTTGTGTTGTTGATGGATTGTCCTCTCCTCAAACCTAATAACAAAAGCATTAAGACTGTGAATTATTATTCTTTATACCGAGAAGTCACTTTATTCATTAAGCTACAAGTAATTTCTGAAATAATGAAAAATAAACTGAGTACTTTGATAACCTATCCTAAATTGTATACAATACAATGTTGGTATACTTCATAAAATGATAAGTTGCTTCCGTGAACGTATGTTGACATGGTATGATTTGGTCGATGGTCAAAATACATGTCACCAGAGGACTTTAATTCATCACTTTCACTACTAAACATTTATTTTAGACAATGTGCTCATCACAAACTCAATATTATTATCTATCATTATATTTTTTTAAAACGGATAAGTTTATGAATGACACGTTTTTCTTCGTATTTCATTAGTCCCTAGACCATCAACGTCTGACCAAATTGATAACTCCACTGATAGAACTTCTCATCCAACTTATAGATTATCATCTCAGACGAGCACAAAATTGAATTGTTTAAATCAGAATAATTTATTTCCAAATAACAACGAAACGCGTGTAAAACACGATTATCAAAATGTTTCACAAATCAGTTCACGAACTCATGATGACATAACTGTTCATAGATCAACTATTAATAATGATAACAATAGTAATAAAAACCATCCAAATAATACATTTAATTCATTTTTATCTGTACGTGTCGGTAGTTCCAATGATTTGACAAATAATAAAGACGATATAGATTTTGAAGCCATATGGTCAGAAAATAATCGTTTGCATCGAGCGACTGTTGTACATGAATTTAGAGCTAAAAAATCTAATGAACTAGATCTCGTTGTGCATGAAACTGTTGTCTTATTGAATAACGAACCTCAAAATGGATGGATAAAAGTAAGTTATGCATTAGAATCATACAAGTATCAAGTTATTTATTGAATTATTTATTATTAGTAGTAAGTCAGCTCTCAAATAATGTAAATCGGGTAAAGTTTTAAGGTTTTGCATACTTATAGACAACTGGCAGTAACTTCTTGAACTAATAGACGTTCTTCAAGTTGATTATGTTCATTCGAATCTTACATCAGATTTATTTTAACACAATATATATTGATTAACATATAATTCATTAATCATTCACCAATAAACAAGATTAAAAGAAAGTGATTAAGACATAATAATATGCTACACTTAGTCACATATCTTTAGTTATTGGAACATCATTATGAAAGTTAGCACATACGATAAACTATTTGTCTAACCAATAAATACAGTGTTTATGAGAGAGAAGTAGAAATTAATTGATTCGTATTAAATACTAGTTTATGATTCCCCAACACTTGAATATATATGACCCATGCGGAATCCAGTCCAGAAATTTTGAACCCCCTTAAATTTTTCAGGTATCCAACTTTGATGTGTGATATACGCCGATGCTTAGAAAATATCTTCAGGGATTGACTATCTAGTTTTCAGTTTGATTGAATCTACCGATCAAGGTTTATAACTATAATTTCAAGAAATTAATCATAAACTTAACCACTATTGAAATAAATTGTCATCTACTAAAGTATTTTATAAGATATTTTTTAGTTTAATAAAGACAATCCTCTTCATGAAGTTTTATCATTGGGGAGACCACACAAGTTTCTATCCTCGATTCTGCATAGCGTCATTGAAGTGGACCGCTATAGATTTCCAAACCAAAGCTAAACAGCTATCCAGTACATTGTGATTTTCATTGATTTTCTCTTTGACGTAGGAGTAGGATAAATATTACTTTCAAACTATATAAATCCCTATACAAACAACCTAGTACACTATAGTATCTTAATCAACATTACTTTCGGTATGGTAACATGTCTTTTCTTTGTACTGAGACTTAGATATGCATAAAAGTGCAATTATCAGCACTTATATTCTCAATTTTAAATAAAATATTTATTACTTGTATTGTGATTGGTTAGTTGGTGCATTAATTAATATGATATTCCATTTCATAGAGACTGTTTTCTTCATTGATCCTTCCTGTGATACTAAAGTAGCTTATTGAGAATCGATTTAACATCATCATCATCTTAAAACTTTGTTCTTGAAAATGCATCGCCAGGATAGACTTGTGATGTAATTCTCTAAATACCTATCAGATATGAAGTATATACCTGGTATTGAATGAATATAAGAGTTATTAGCTACTTTTTTAAAGCAATATACTTGATACTTTATAAAATATTATTCATCCTATATTTTTTATCGACCTGGCACTGAGGATTCTTTTGTCAGTTCCCCTAAATTCGTTTACAATGTTCATCAAACAAACCGTGCATTGTAATCACAGCGAATAGCTCTGTTTCCACTACAAGCAATCTTTTATCATGTATATATGTGTTAAATTGTATATTTACAATTAATAAGTATTTTCTCAGTACGTTTCGTAAACTTGTATGAATATCAATCGTTCTTATTTCATTTTTTATCAGTTTGGCATTGTTAAATACCCTTTACATATCTTTGTCTTATGAAATGAGATTTATAATTAACTTTGTCTATTTATCCTGCTTCTTTCTAAGTGTTTGTATTCATTTCGATTTTAGGTAAGAAGTTTAATAGATGGAAATGAAGGTTTGGTTCCGATAAGTTACTTAAAATTATCTAGCATGGATGTACCTAAACACAACTGCAAAATCCTTATGAACGGTGATAGTAGTAAACAAAGTATCTCAACGCCGCATACTGACGGAACTAACATCCTTCATTCTAAATTAATTACTTGTTCCGAAGACAATGATCAAAAAAACTCTAAGAAGCCTAATCAAGTGGATTCTACGTTTTCATCCCTTCCTCCAGAAATAGATCCACCTCGACTTCTATGCACAGATGGTACGTTTAACTTACGGAGAGCCTCATACATTTTACTTGAATTCAACATGTTTCACAGAAATCGTGTAGAATTGTAGAACAGTTCAGTATCTCTGACTGTTTTTCCTGTGAATTCGTAAATGATAAATATTGATATCAGTTGTCATATGAGATTTAAGATGTTTTATGTAACTGGTATTTCGACTTATTCCTAATCGATATTTATAGGAATCATAACTGAAGGCTGTTATGAATTTGACCATTTATATCCTCACATAAGTTACGGACTCTCAATTATATAGTTCGCTTATGGCTACTTTGCCATATACCGATCAGACCAACGGCAATCTCTTTAGCTAATAGAGCAAAGACCGGAACTTCTAACTCCTATGAATCTACCCCACTCCCTTTACCCCAAGTTGCCAATCGGAATACTAAGATAACAAACAGATTTACATTCTACTATTATATTTTCTTTACAACTAAAAAGATCACAGTATTATTTATGCCAATTACATGATCACTCTTTCTATCGCTCTCCCTGATTTATTGAACTCATTATTATCTAAGGAATTCCTAAGGTTTTATTTATTTAAAAACCTAATAATATGAATCTCAAAGTTCCTTGAATTATAAGACTTACAACCAACTTTTGATATTTTACTCATAAGAGTGTTGGAAATGGTACTAACTGCTCAGTTTTTTGTATGAAGAGAGGTCATTGCTTTGAAAATCATTTGATGGATACACGCATGGAACTATATCAAACTACTGATAGTTATAAAATAAATACTAGCTAAATATTTCATTTATCCTCTTCAGTGGTGTTCTTTACCTAATTAAGTTATACGAAAATTATAACTTGAATAAATCCTCTTAGAGGCCTAATGCTATTTTTCAGTTTGCTTGTCAGTGTAATTTCTAGAGAAAAAAAAACTGAAAATGTTGAAGTGTTTTATCTCTACCTGTTTATTTCACAGAAATTTCTAGTCATGAAATGTCCAAACCACCTCTTTCTGGTTCTTTTGTAAGAAGTTTAATCGATTTTCGCGGAACTAATCCAGATGAATTAAGCTTTAAAGCTGGTGCAGTTATACGTGTGATCGGTCGTGCTCCTAATATTAACGATCCATTTAATAATTCATCAGCAGCAGCAACAACCAGACGAGATCAATTAACTTCAATATCTGGCTGTAGTATTGATGATGGGTGGTGGGAAGGTGATCTTCTAGTGCCTGTATCAAACAAAAATGATGAAGATCAACAATTTTATTCTATACGTGGTGTTTTTCCATCTATGCTAGTACAATCACTTTCATCTGTTGATTCGGAGTTATGGACGGTTCGATGGAATAATATTTTATCATTGTCATTAGGTATTTACAGTATCCTTATGTTATTTGTGTAAAACTTTTTGACAGATATTTTAACTGTCTTCACTCAGGCAATCATAAGATTACTGCATGGTTGTAGTTCTTTTCGACCAATGATTTACGAAATTTGTCTACTAGTTTTAATGGATGAATAATTCAGTTTTTTTGCAATTAAAATTGTTAATCTCAAAGTCATCAGTAGAAATCGAGTTTCAAATGCATTAGTATAATTACAATGTAATTTTCCAAAGTTTTACGACTATATTTATTATTAATTGACAAATCTTAACTGTGTTATCATATGAAAATCTCTGAAGAATTCAAGAATTATTTGAGATTAAAATTATCGACCATTTAATAATAACTCATTATTAGACTTGATATTCTTGGATTCAATACCAAGCAAGGATTAGTTGTGAACATTGTAGTTGCAAATTAGAATTAGACGCCTCTTGAGTTTTTAATGATTTTCCGGCTGTGTCGAGAGTTATCACAAAATTAAATAAAATGCTCAATCAAACAGTTCAAGAAAGTAGTAAGAAATTGTCTCTAGTAAAAGAAGTGTAGTCTCTTCAATAATAGAAGGGGTTTTTTGTGGAGATTTAGTATTTGTTATAGTTGAAAGCGTGAGTCAATTGAAGCTAGACCACCATGGAAAACCTGGAAACACTGGACGGCCGTTTTGTCCTATTATGGGACTCCTCAGCAGTGCGCATCCACGAACCCGCTCTCGCGAGATTCGAACCCAGGACCTACCAGTCTCGAGCCGAAGCCCTTAACCGATAGACCACTGAGCTGGCATCTTCAATAATAGCCTTCCATCAATGCGTTAAAACTCATGAAGGTGAATATAATACTTCGAAGCGTAATAAGTTTCTTTGTTCAATTAACTTTCCGGGATGTTTGAATGATATATTTTCACTATATTTGCAGTGAATTGTTTTACTTACTGTAAGAAATTTGTTTGTTTTTCAGATAATTCAGTGGAAGAAAGTCAGAATTCTCAAAACCAAAATAATAGCAATATCGATAACATTAATTCTCCTAAAATTAGTACCAAACAACTCCATACAACTTTAAATCATCATCATAATAATAACCTGGTTAATAACTGTCCTGATGATGTTAATAAATCAACTAAGAGTTGCCATCTAATAGATGAAGAAGACTACATACAACTGCATTCAAAAGTATTACCATCATCTCATACAGTTCAAGTGAAAAGTCCAAGTTGTCACATTCATTCTAGTCCATCAGAAAGTATTAAATTGCCACATACTTCATTGTCTGATGATACTAAACATTCAGCGTCTAATAATCCTGTTACAAGTCGACAACCTCATCAAAACTCTCAATGCTTGCATCATCGTCATCATAATCGATACCATGAGTTGAGTAAAGCCGATGAGGTTAGATGAACTAGTTTCTATATTCATATTACTCAACTAAATTCTCCCTGCATATCACAATCTTTGCACCAAAATGTGACCGCTCAAACTAACGATTACTTCAAGATTCGGTTAACTCAATGTTCAATTTCTCTTTACATTCAATAACATCAGCCACATAAAATATTTATATTTGCGAAACGCACACTCTATCAATCCATTACATACTCTGTTCTTGACTGCTCTTAGTCTCTTCATTCATTGTTTCTCAAGTTGAAACTAACATGCCACTACCGAGTTATAGAAGACAGTGTAAAGATAGCAATATTGTAATGTAACTCACTGACAAAGTTCAGATATTTAAATGTAGCTCTTACCTACACCCTAGATATAGAGGGCTACCCTAACCGAAGTAGGTTAAGTCGAGTTTAAAACTTTGATTATACATTAGATCGAATACATCTACTCTCACCACTAGTCTATAAATCTCTACGAATATAGAAAAGGCTATATTAAACAATGTAATGATAACTAATTTTGTGATCACATTGAAGAATCGTCAAACATACAAAATCAAATTATACGTAAATACAACCTAATATTAACTTGAATTTATGTAGCTACTGATAGCATATGTATTTGAGAAAAAAGAGAACATAAAAATCATTTTAAACAATATCTTAATAAAACTTAAACATGAGTATGGGTCACCTTATATAAATTAAACTAAAAGTAACTAAACTAATAAAATAATACGCAAACATTCAAACCTATTCATATCAGTAAGATAAGATAAAAAGCGCTATTTCTGTGCATATAATATAAAATATTCAATAAAACAAAACAAACACCATGAAATAGGTACTTCCAAAAATAAAATTCTTATTATAAACTTGTTAACAATAATATAAATACAACAATTCTAATAGTATAAAGCTTGTTATTTTTGAATAGTTATGTAAGTTAAGGAGATTATCATCCATTTGTATAACATTATACATGTAAAGTTATTTTTATTCAATAATAAAATTAATCTTGAATGTTACCTAGAAAAAAACTTGATGATATTAGCAGTTTAAGTGATACAAATGATTTTGTAGTTAGTATTTATAAAGTATGCTAATAGATAGTGAATAATTACAAACGTACTAACGAATTGTTAGAATACTTTTAAATATATATATATATATATATATATATATATATATATATAGCCAGAACAATGATCTGGAATGTGTTTGGAACAAACACACACCTTTGACTCTGTAAAATCTGCTCCGCAAGAGCAGGTAAGATAGTGAGGACACATTGAGATGGTCTAAAGTAGGAGTTAGTCTTTAAAATATCATAAACGTGATCTTAAAACAAGTTCCGGTATATACTTGAGATAATCATAAATACATTTGGAGTTTGGCTAAAAGCTACATTTAAATATCTGAACTTTGTCAGTGAGTTACATTACAATATTACTATCTTTACACTGTCTTCTATAACTCGGTAGTGGCATGTTAGTTTCAACTTGAGAAACAATGAATGAAGAGACTAAGAGCAGTCAAGAACAGAGTATGTAATGGATTGATAGAGTGTGCGTTTCGCAAATATAAATATTTTATGTGGCTGATGTTATTGAATGTAAAGAGAAATTGAACATTGAGTTAACCGAATCTTGAAGTAATCGTTAGTTTGAGCGGTCACATTTTGGTGCAAAGATTGTGATATTCAAGGAAAATTTAAATGAATGCAAAAATTAGGTAATAAGAAACTCTGTCACTGCGCTAGTTTTATATATTATCATGCCATAAAACCATTTATTGAAACCTATCGAGTGATTTGTAAAACCTTGACCCAAATTTCAGGATTTACCTAGAAACTGTACAATTAAAACATTATCATGATCAAACGATTTGCGAATTTAGATTGTTTGAGATACTTAAGAGTTTATTACTCAGTAAAATCATGGTTGATAAAAAAATAAATTTACCAAGTTATTACGTAAGGATTTATTCCCAACACATTAAACATTAGAAAATAGCACATTGCTTTCAAATAACAATCTCCAACCACGCTTATTAAAATAGGAAAGCATTACCGAATATACAATGTTTCGAGTACTGGAAAGATAAAAAAGAAAACAGTTTACGATTAAAAGTTCGAAAATGAAATCAAAATTTGCGGATGCATGTAAACACTTAGGATTAACATCAGGTAGCATATCAGCGAAGTCAATTGGTATAAGCTTCAAAATGATTGGTAATAACATAAACCATTAACTATTGTAAAGTAGTATATTGTAATTCGCAAAAAATAAACATGGAGGAGTAACAGTTTGTAATCCAAAACAAATTTAACGCTGTTTATTTTTATTTGATCATTAATCTTTAGTCATTTTGAGCCAAAATAACCTGTTCCTCCACCAAAACTGTTTAGAAGCTGAATATATTTCTCAAATATATTACTTACATAACTTTTGGAAACTATTCCGTTTTGATTATTGTTTTGGATTATTGTTCTTTTCTACCCTTTGTTTAGGTCCCAATAGCTGAGGTTTGATTAGAATTCCATCTAATTTACAAACAAGATATGAAGTTGTAGGTCCTCATAATAATGCATTTATTTTTTACACTTTTTGTATAAACTACAGATATATAAAATAATATAAATCTGATTGTTTCCGGCTAGACAGTTTTTTTTTGTTTATTTTCAATTTGTTATACTTTCTCTATACTTACGTTCTTTTTATTCGAACAGTATTTTGTGCATATTTGTCCTTGTGCTAGGTTTTTTTTTTTACCTAGGAATGAACTTATTTCTATTTCATAAATAATAATGAATTGACCCACTTTTCTTTAAACACTTGATGAATGCATCATAATTAAACCTTGTTATCACATTTGATTGTTATCTCACAGAGCTTCATTTTTGTCTGCATTTTAATTATGTCATTTTTTATGTCGGTTTTAGTCCCATTGTATTAAATTACAAAGTGATTGGTAGAGATTTTGCTGTAGTCTGCAAAATATTAAAATATGATGAAAATACCCTTCAAGTTAAATAATAGTTTGGATGAAATAAAGTGTTTTCGTATTCAAAGTGTTACCAAAATATGTTTTATCGTATTTGGTTTTCAATAATAGGTGTCACGAATTGTCTAAATATTAGGATGGTATTGTTAGTTTAAGTTCTTTTTCCACAGTTAAGTAACAGTTACACGATTTTAGTGAAGTCTTCCACTCTGATAAACTGTTTAAAACATTGTTAGGTCACTTCTGGACATCCTGTTAGTCCTAAGAATGAACTTTTTTTCGAACTTCAATGTCTGATTGTTTAAACATGACATAAACCAGTCTGTTCGTGGTGACTCAGTACCTATTAACTAGGGCTAATCGATAAAACACCTACGGTTAACTCTCCAAAAACTTCTGGGAAGTAAAGATAAACTATCTGTATTACCCGTTCAATCACGACGGTAGTCCATCTATCTACAAAAGTCAGTAGTTTCATGACATAGGTGTGACTCTACTTCAAATGGTTTTAAGACACTACTAGTATTCTGATTTGACAACCTGTTACCAATAGCACCTTCTATATGCGAAGCTTTTCCCCGACCAATGAGAATCAGAAGTCAGACGAGAAGAGGTAGGAAAGATATATTTGATACGTTATCAATATATCGCGAAGCGTTTATTATAAGCTGGCTAGTGAACGTAGCAGTATTGTCCCACGCTGAGTCGAAATGTGATCTGGTACGGAAGCATGGCCGAAAGCCTTCAATTAAACAAGTCCACTTAAACAACGTGGTCAGCATCCAATGTCGAACACTTACGGAGATATTGATTAGGGGGAATTATTTGCAGCTACAGGTTGAAGACAGAATAGAAGCTTTCGCTTACAGGGCTTCCGTGTCAAGTAGCAGTCGATCACCAATACATCCAGGCAAGAACCTAGGTAAATAACGACAATAGAGAAAAAAAAGAATTCGGTAAATCAAATATTATGTTATCCTTAGTTCTTAAGAATAAGTCAAGTTTCCTCTCAAAGGACTCCTGTGAAGTCGCTTGGACTAGTTCAGCCGTCAGCGAATTCCAGCATTTGAAAACTCTAAAGGAGTAGAAGTTGTGTCTGCAGTCTATTGTGCTATGTTGGCTCTCCAGTTTCTGGGTGTTACCTCTGAGGTTAATGTTACGACTAAGCTTAAGTAGATGTTTAAGGGGATGATCAGAAGTATTAAGGATAAGGTCACCTATAAAACGCCTATACTCTAACGGGTAAAGATTCAGTGAATGAAGGCGCTCTTCATGAGGTTTGAATTTGAGTTCTCGAAATGACTTCGTGACTCGCCATCGGATACGTTCCAGAGTGTCCTTATCCTTTTGGAGGGAGGGAGAAAATACTATGTTTCCGTACTCTAAATGGAGACGAATAAAACTGTTGAAGATTATGTGGAAGGTTCTACCGTCAAACTGGCCAAAAATGCGCTTCAATGTTACCAGTGCAAGGTTTGCTTGAGAGGCGTTTTTGTCACAGTTCGCATACGATTTCATGTCGTAGGGTACCAACACTCCTAAATCATTTTCGACTTGAGAAACTTCTAGAGAGGAGTTACCTAAGTTGTAACTATAGTCTGCAACATGTCGCAGATGGACTACTTTGCACTTTGAAGTGTTGAAGGTAAGTCCGTTGTCGTCTGCCCAACTTTGAAGTCGAGTCAGATCCTCCTGAAGTACTAGTATATCCTTATGGTTACGTATCTCTCTCCAAAGTTTCACATCATCAGCGAAAAGCAATAAGTCAGATGAAACTTGTTGAAGAAGATCGTTAATGTAAATCAAGGAAAGAAGAGGTGCTAGTATGGAGCCCTGGGGGACCCCACTAGGACATTCCAAGGCCTGAGGGAAAGTAAAGTTAACCCTGACCTAAAAATGTCAATTTGTTTAGTTACGAAGTGAAAAGTTCTGCTAATCCTTACACAACCATTTGAATCGTCAAGGTCACTTCAACGTCGTTGAAAGGTCGTTCATAAACTGTAGTCACTCCGAATCTGTCTGTTCCTTCTTGTTTCCGAAGTTCTTCGGTATCCATCCTGGACAAACATATGTTTATGGCTGCAGGGTTATGAACAAACAATGAGCATTTATCCGAGTATTTAGATGTACTTTTGGAAGACTGTCTTAGCCTATCAGGTGTAAGTTAAAGGATACTATTAGATTATGCGTTTGTTTGAAAACATACAAGTGTTGACTATGAGTATAGATACTTATCATACAAACCAGTGGGATCATGTCAAAATTACGATTATTTGTGAGTTGTTTTTTTCCACTTAGTCAAACGAAAATTCTCTTGGAAGCCGATATATGCAATGCTTATCCTACTCATTCTGATGCTCATAACAATTCTAACCGTTAAATCTGCTCCTATATTTTGGATATCGGATAGTAGGATTCTATTTGATAGTGATAATTATACACCACACCAATTTCCCAACTTTTTCTGTCTCAAGTTTTGTTTGTTGTTTTAGGTTTTTGTCTCAATTATGAAATGTTCGCCTCGCAATCAAGTATTAAATCAACGCATATTCCTCCCATTATGGAATGCCCGCCAGTACCTCACCCAGCAATGAATGTGAATTTTCCAACATTTTATTCTAGCAGTTTCGTACAAAACAATATCTCATCTCTTGCTCAGGAGAGCTTATATGAAATTCAACGACTTAGACTACTTCTCACTGATTTATTGACTTCTATACAATCTGATGAAAAAGATCCTGATGAAAAAAATAAGATTGTGGACGAAAATTTCATGTTATTCAATAGAAATGGTAGTACGAAGTGTAAAAACATTCCTAGTCCTCTATTCACAACTGGAGAGGGAAAAACAACTGGGATCGTGCCTGAAGGTCGCAACAACCTCCCTCAAACTCTTGGTATGAAGAGTTTATCATGTGACAAGTTAACATTACACAAAATAGTCAATCACATCAGGTGAGCGATTGACTTAGAGAAATGTTTTAGTTTGTCTTTTATGTACTAGGCACATAACGGAGCATAATAATGTAGCTGAACGGATGCATCAGTAAGGTGAATCTGCCAGAAATTACCTTTCACTTTTTTCTATCAAAATTGCCGGTCCTGTAGTTGCTTTAAGGAATAGTTTTGTATGCCTCATAAAAGTCTACATTCGAAATTAAAATAAGTCAT